ATCACGCTATAAGATGAGCGGTGGCGGCGTCAACATGTCGCCCGAAGAAGAAGAGCAACTTCTGGAAGATCTCATACTCAGTCGTCGGAGCGCAACGGCGCCGCAGGGCGCAAGTACAGCTGGAAGCTGGGACACGGGTGCAGAAGGTATGGGCTCAGAGGGACCGCAATGTGTAGTTTGCCAGATGTCGCCAAGGACAGTCCTGGTGTGGCCATGTGGGTGCTTGAGCCTGTGCGACGACTGTCGGGTGGGTCTGGCTTCGAAGAACTATACGGCGTGTGTGTGTTGCAGGACTAATGTGGCTGCATACTCTCGTCTTTTCGTGCCTTGAAATTTTAGGGGTCTGCATAGGGCTGGCGTTGAACATTTGTTTGCATGATCCTGTACATGATAGCACATTATACGAGAATCGATCGAAAACATACTTCATAGGAGTCTACATTACCATGCGGATATCGCCAACATTCACCTTCACACTCATGTAGACGGCAAAGCATCTGTTGCTTCGGAACTTATCGGAACGAGGCCGGCTACATTCAGGTACTTAGGCCGCACCTAGATAGTGGTGACGTTTCCACACGCCATGTGATAGTCGACCCACTGCTGCAAACTGTTAGTATCATTTGTTCCCCCCACGTTCGTAGCTCCCTGAGTGGCGATCGTCATATCGATCACCGCCGACTTGGCAACCGCAAACCGAGTCATCAACTGCACCCCCCAATCTCCCTTCCACTCCAACGTTACCAAACTACCCAAATTTCGCCCACGCATACATCCTCTGACTGAGCATTTCCAACGAGCTCGGTCGACTGCCCTCACCCAAGAACCAGACCCAAAATTTTATGCAGCCAGAGCCCATCAACGCATCACAAAACGTTTCGTACCAGCAAACCTCTTTCGACACCGCCACCACCTCCCAGCATGGACAGCGCCGCAGCCTTGACTTCCAGGTCTCTCTGCAGCCTCACTCGGGTGAGCTGCGGGGAGAGTCTGGGCCACAACCCCGCGGGTTCGCACGCGATGCGACGCGTTCAGAGGCCGAGAGTACAGTCGGGACCGTGGAAACAGATGGACTGAAGCGCGTCGCGTCTCCCTCGCCACCCCCGAGGGACAGGATCACCGAATACGAAAATGCGCTGAAGTCTTCACCGCGAAAGCCCGCTGACGGGCCCCTCTTCGAGATCGTCAAGAGCAACAAGAAGCCCAGCGATAAGAGCTCGCCTATCGCGAACCTGCCTAATGGTGTGTATAAATGCCTCCAGAACGGGCGGAACGCGAATGCACGAATAAGAGCTGACGATGCGTAGAGGTTCTGATCCATGCCATCGCCCACCTGTCACCAAACGATCTCGCCGCCGTATCCCTAGTCTCTCGCCGCTTCCATGATGTAGTCACTACCCCACACGCCTGGCAGGTGGCATTCGGTCGCTACTTCCCTGGCCCACACTCACTCGAAGATGCCGCCTTTCGTTCAGCCCTCGAGGGCAGTGGTTCAGTCGTGCGATCAGAGAAGAGACGCTTCACCAGGCTCACTGCGCTGGCATCGTGGAGAAGCGAGTACATTCTACGCACGAGACTATTGCGGTCTTTGGTCAGGGGCAAGCCTGTACAGGTACCTGCGACACCGTCCCGCGCATCTCAGATGCAGACCATCACCCCGATGATTACCTACGATGCAAAAACGTATACTATCATCAACCACTTGCAGGCCACGTTCGGAACCGGTTTGAACAAGAAGATGCCGCGCTTCATCCATGGTGCAGACGATATCGGCATGGTGACCAGCAGCGATCCGATGACGGGCAAGGTGGATCCTTGGGGACAGAGTGACCCTCACTTCTATGGCCAATTCTCAGAACGCTTTCCGGGTACCGCAGAGTGGGGTCTGGGCTCAGGAGAGGTCGTCGGGCGACCCAACGTTATGGACATATCGCAGCCATACGGTATGATCTATGGCCAGGGCTGTCCAGAGGGCTCGTGTTATTACCGCTCCCTTGAGGAGATGCGTGGTCGATTCATAGCTGAACCCACCGACTTTGCTATGCCTGAAGTTGGTATACCAAAGCTAGGCATCGACGGCGGTGCTATCTGCAGCGTTTGGATCGCTAAGTCAAACACGATCCCGACGCTTTCGGATGGCTTGATTGGCATGATGATGGGATCTGCAGCTGGCGTCGTCAGTGCCTGTAGCATCGGTACAGATGGTCTCCGCTCGTCCCGTGTACAGCGTGGGGAGCTGACTGCGCGCTGGGTTCTCAGCCCGGGAGTACCTATCATTGCCATCGCCGTCGACGAACAATACTCAACCAAGCGCTATGCTCAGAACCGCATTTGGGCGGTCGCTTTGAATGCACTTGGCGAGATCTTCTACCTTACTAAATTCCCAACTCGCAGCCAGGCTACGAAAGGCGACATTGAGCACTACTCGGAGTATCTAGGTTGGCTCACTGGCCGCACCGTCTACTGGAACTTGGTGGAGCCCAGCAGACGTACTGCGAGGCCTGACCCGTACAGCGATGCCGATGTCGACGGTAGTTATTCGCCGCGAACCTCATGGGATGGGATGTGCTTAAGCAAGGATCAGATCATCGCCGAAACAAGGGAGATCCAAGAATATCTTCGCAAGCAGCCAAAACATTTCCGAAAAGCATGCCTTGGATGGGATATGCAAAGAACGCTCGAGGTTGACTTTGCTGGAGACGATGGAAATCATGCTGGGGAATCCGTAGTGGTCTTCGAATGCGGGCTTGAAGAGGGAGACGTCGCCGATGTTAAACGCTTCACCCGTTGTAAGATTGACGAAAAGGACAAGACTACGAACGTCTCAAGTCGCATTTTCACGCCTCAGCCTGCGCAAGCTGCATCTCTATTCGGCGGCCCTAGCGCAAATTCTACAAAGCCTCCTCGTGGTCGCAGCTCTTCATACATCTCGACCACAAGTTCACCAGAACGGGCCGCTCTATTCGAAGAATGGAGGTGCTCAAAGCTTACATTCGGCGGGTTCAAGAGCACTCAGGTCACTACAACTGCTTTGGACGTCTCTACCTTTGCCACTTTGACCTTGTTTGAGGATCCTGCGCTTGGATTCTCGACTGCCTCGACTGCATCCTCGCCTTACTCTTCTCCCATGTCTGTTGCAAGCCAGCCGGCCTCTCCCTCTGACATTCCTGGACAGCGCGCAAGGTTCCTCGCTGCTGGTACCAAGTCTGGCGTGGTGCTGCTTTGGGATGTCCGGGCGCCTACGTCACGTTCGTCGGAGTACACAAACGACATTGAGCCTGTTCGTATCATCTACACCGACTCGCCAGAGATATCCTGCGTGGCTGTCACTTCACTTTATCTCGTAGCAGGTGGAAACGACGGCTTGGTACAGGCATGGGATCCACTGGCTTCGAGCATGTCGCCCATAACAACGCTTCACTCCCGACATGCGTCGCGTGCTCGTAGACAGCTTGTGCAGGCCCAAGCTTCCGTTCAAGGAGTCGGCATCAACATGTTTGCTGCTGGTGCCGTATGCCTGGATCCTGATCCGACCGTCTTGCGCGGTGCAGTGTCTCTTGGCAATCAGCTTCGATTCTGGAGTTACAGCTCATCTGCAGCCGATCAGTATAGAAGCAGTAAACGCAGGCTGCGAAGAGCCGAGCGTGGAAGTAACAATACCACAGAGCGCTTTGCCGGTACAGGCAGAGTCAACCTGAAGAACTACATTGCCAACGAACAGTTCGAGTTGGAGCGTGATAGACAAGAGCGTCACAAGCAGGCCGAGCGTTTGGCAGGCCGTTTTGGCACGGAGCTACTAAGTGAGGAGGAGGCTCTAGCATACGCTGCAATGCTTTCGCAAGAGGCTGCTGAGGCAGACGAACTACGCCGCATCGAGCGCGAGAGCAGTGCCCTTAAGAGTGAGCCTGTAACGCCAGAGGCGAGCGCCCAAGGCCAACCTTCATCGCCTGATACCAAGAACGACAACGAACTGGATGCCGACATCGCCGAAGCCATTCGTCTTTCTCTCAACGATAGCTTCGGAGCTGGCAGCTATGAACCCGCCTCTACGCCTCCTTTTGCGTTCGAGATTCCGATCAAGTACGCTAAGAGCAAAAAGTCTCCGCCATCCCGCTCCCAAAAGAGCACGCCCGGGAAGGGCAAGGCCGCTGCTGGTTCGAGTAATGAGAGCGAAATGTCAGATTTAGAATTTGCCATGCAACTGAGTCTTGCTGAGGAGCAGAGTCGGAAGGATGCCGAAGATGCGTTTCCACCGCTCAGTCCAGCAGCTGGCAGTAAGGGTAAGGGCAGAATGTGGTAATTTGGTCGGCTGACTTATCAGCTTGTCTCGGGCGTCTTTGCTGTTCACCTTTCTTTTCAGTGGTCTCACGCTTAATACATTTGGACTCTCACATTTGTTCGATTCTTCGTACGGTACACCGATAGTCAGTATTGCCTCGGGTGTACCGTTGCGCCCTGATCTTGCCGGTCGGGTTTCAATATTGGGAGTACGGGAGCTCTTGTGCCTTGCGCCAGATGAGAGCATAGTTATAAGCTATCTCCAGTAGCTTGTTGCTTTCGCTGTCTAAATATACACCTACATCAATTTTGACACCCGCACCTGATCGGTACGACTGGACTTATTGGCACTTGACCGGTTCTTCATTGCTGGCACTCAATGCGGTTAGCTTGGAGGCCTTACCGCCCAGACCCCTGACACTTTCCAGGCTCCAACCAGGTTGTGTTCCTGTCTCAGACAACAGCAAGTATAGAGTAGTGTCGGATAATTTTGTTCAAAAGAGTTGGGAAAGCGCGATATAATCTTAAACTCGACGCCATATTACGGTAGAGAGAGCGCTTGGCGACCACGTCTCTTCGTAAAGTTTCATCAGCAACCTGCATCGACATTTGAAAGACTACGAGGGCAGGTTCTTGGGGTTGCCGCTTCAGAATTCGATACCCACAGCAACCAGAGAAGAAAGTCGCAAAGGCGTGAAGGCTTACTTCCCGTCTACAGCAGCATGGCGGGTCTCTCCATTACATCAGCCCTACTTTCCCCTATCAACAAGCTCCGCGGGAAATCAAATCCATACCAGAAAAAACACACCGCTCCCAAAACCCCGGCCCCAAACAGTGAATTCCTAGCCGAAGCCCGTCAAGCAGCTAGCCGTGATCCCGTGACCGGAACCCAACAGCACACACATCCAGAACCCACGAGCGCCGACCTCCTAGCTGAAGCGCGCGAAGCAGCCGGTCGCAACCCCGTGACCGGCCGCCCACAGCCCGTTGTCACAGGCAAGAAAGCGAAGAAACAGAAATTGTCGTTGGAACAACAGCAACAGGCGGCTGAAGAACAGAAGGCCGCGTTCCTTGCTTGGGCGGCAAGACATCCACAGGAGGGCGGGCGGCCGTATGAGAGCTACGAGGCTTTTGTGCAGGAGATGGTGGCGAAGCGGACGGGGAATGTGGAGCAGCGGACTGGTGAGGGATATTATGCGCCGGAGAGGAGTGTGGGGGAGTATTATTCTGGTGGGGTGAGGGATTAGGGTGTTGGTTTGAGATTTGGGGTTGTTTTGTTTGTACTGATGAGTTATGGCATGTGGTTTCTTTGTTCTAGCGAATGATTTGTAGTTTTTCATGGAAAGAGCTTTTTGGGCAGGTGCAGGTGGGGATGTCTGCAGCTGAGAGCAAACGAGGTTTGGAAGGTGCAAACGGAGGTAGATCGGGCATGTGATGGGGTCTATCAGATCGTACTTTCCTCAGCTTCTCTCTTACCTGTTTCGCACAAGGCCTGTTCAAGACCTTTCTCATTCTGCCCTTCATACATCTCCGAGAATCACAGTCAATTGAACCTCATCACCATGGGCTCAGTAATGCTGCAGCACCTGCCTTCAGCATGGCACGTTGACCAAGCCATCGTACGTTTCCTACACTCATCATCTCGACCAGACCTATCCTACCAGACGCGACCCTCCACTACACCCAAACTAACACCCACCAGCTCAGCGAAGAAGCCCGCATAGTCTGCCTCCGTTTCGGCGCCGACTACACACCCGAATGCATGGAGATGGACGAGATGCTATACAAGATCGTAGACGCAGTCAAAGACTGGGTCGTCATCTATGTAGTTGACAACAAGGTAATGCCCCCTCCGTGTTCGATATCCCCTCCTCCGCACTATCTGCAACAATGTGCTTTCCCTTGTCTAAGTCCCTCCCTACCCACCCTACCATCTCCAACCCAAGCTAACACCCCTACCCCACCAGCAAGTCCCCGACTTCAACGCCATGTACGAAATCTACGATCCCTGCACCGTCATGTTCTTCTGGCGGAACAAGCATATGCAGGTTGACTTTGGCACGGGCAATAACAACAAGATCAACTTTCCGATTGGGACTAAGCAGGAGTTGATTGATATGTTGGAAGCCGTGTATAGGGGAGCGAGCAAGGGGAAGGGGCTTGTTGTTAGTCCGAGGGATTACTCGACTAAATGGGCGTACTAGTCGGAGGGGAAAGAGGGATGGGAGGAGATGAGAGCGAGGAGTGTGGCCCTAGGCTGTCCGATATCGAAGAAGGAGATCGGGTATGTGGATTGAAACAATTTGACATGATCTGATAAGCCAAAGAAAATAGCAATGCGAATGTGATGTTGTGATGTGTAATTTTTGTAATCTTGTTTCCTATCGTAGAGGCAACCAGCCTTACGTCTATTCCCCCACGGCAAAATCCCAAGTCCTTGTCTCTAGCTGTACACCCTGGGCAATCGCCAGACAAGATTCTTTGACGCCATCCAACGCCATGCCATGCAAGTTAGCTCGCAAATATTGCAAATGAAGCAAGATCAATCCTCGCTGTGAACAAAGCAGAACAACGCCAGAAAGGTATGCAGCGCCCTGGCAGAAAATGTTAACAAGCCTCACTAATGCTTTGAAGAAAACAGATGCAACTTCTTCTTCTTCTTCTCTTTGCCTTCTTTCTCTTCTTTGCCGTGCTTTGTGGTACTGCTCTGCGACGGCGAAGGACTGTGTTTTTGCGGGTTGGAATTGAGGTTGATGGCACCCATGGCTGCTGTTGGGGGTTTCGGGCCAGCGACTCTGGGTCCGGATGGCAGGCCCCCAGGCATGGGAGGCTTTGTACCAGCAGGCGGTGGTGCTGGCTTCGGAGGCTCAGGCTTCTCGAACAAATGTGCTGGGGCTATAGGCTGCGGTTGATCGATGGGTAAACGCAGACTGCGGCGATTTTGACTGAGATCGCCGACTTGACGGAGGAAGAGCTGCGGCTTCATCATGTGTGAGGTGACGAGGAAGACGTCTCTCGAGGTCTTGTTTGACACATCGTAGCAGGCGCGGGCCTCGGAGTAGGTTGCACCACCGGCGACAAACACAATCACGCGTTGACGGGGCTCCGCACTCGCAAGTCGAGATTTGGCCCATGTCGGTTTTGCGGAGCGGAGGGAAGCGGGTGCAGTATTCTCTTGTGCCATGCTGGCGACATCATCGGGTGACATCTTAGTGAAGGGAAAGACGTCCTGGGGTAAGCTGCCGCGGATGTGCTCCTCTAGCATGTCCTGGAGCGCTGGGCTGAATCTGGACAGACCGTAGTCCTCAGTATTTGGAGGTGGGGCTGCTTTCGGTGGGAAGAGCGGTGGCTGTGCATCTCTTTTCTCTTTCAGTTGTCTGGCGACTCGCGCGCCAAGAAGGTCAAGGTTACGAATGACGTCGCCGTCGGGAGGTGGTAGTTGTGCGTGGAAGAGGAGCTTCTGGAGGTCGGCTGGTAGTATTCCGTTCTTAAAGATTACGTAGAGCGCGATGAGGCGTAGCCGGTCAGCTGGCGTGATCTCTTCGTCGTCCAATGTGCGCACAATCTGGTCAGTCATATTCTTGGGCTTACGGTAGTCTTCGTCAAGACCGGTAGCAAGGCACTGGAAAGGTTAGCGAGAGCCGTGACCAAACCTTGATGGGACTCACCTGTTCCACTGAAGCAAGATCTGGGAGTTTGTGCTTCTGGAAAATCTCCATGCACTTCTGCGCCATGGTGAGATGTAGCGAGTAGGCTTCCTTCATCTCCTGGAACTGAGGTAAACCAGCGATCATATCCTTGATTGCATTCAGTCCATTCATGCCGGCAGCGTTCTGGGCGTCTTGGTTTGTGAAATGGGGGTTGTCGGCGATGAACTTTTGGAAGTCACTGATAAGCTTGTCGAGAGTGTCCTTCATGTGCCGATGGCGGTTTTCGACCCATATCTTGTCCTTGTCGGATATCTCCATATCTTTCTCCTCCGCCTCAGGGTCCTCTTCGTTGACAATGGTGCGGTAGGTCACCTTGTCGCTGTCTTGTATAGGCAACAGATCCATGGCCATTGCTTGGTATGTGAACTCGTGGAGGAAGGGTGCCATGAGGTCCATGGATCGATCGGTGATGTAGAGGGCACCGCGGGGTCGGTTCGACTGCGGAGGGAAGTCTTGGTTGAACTGCGCGTACATGTCGAGCTTGTCTTGGACGAAGCGGGCGAGGTGTGAGCACAAGACGCTGGCCTCGTGGGTTGGAGCTCGCGGTCGGTAGTATCGAATGATGGGGTATTCGCCGAGTGCGACGCAGATACCGGTGATCTAAGGCTGTCAGCAGAAGCTTGCAGGAGAGGTAGACTACCCACTCTTTCCGCAATATCCTCCATGTGGCGCACTACGAGGTTGTTGCACTCGGGGTGGTAGAGGATGGGGAAGCTCCATGGGTCTTTGAAGGTGACGAGGTGCGACTCCTGGGGGTGGAAGTCGAGGTGCACTGTGCGGAAGCTCCGAATCTGCTCGCGCGCCATCTGCGACCGGTCGATGCGCTCCTTGAGGTGTGGTGGTAGCAGCGTTGTCCATATCAGAAAGAAGCCGCGGTATCTGCGCTGGTCGAACTCGGCCATCATGCAGTCGACAATGTGTGACTTCGGCGTGATGATGTACACGGCGTCCATGTCGCGGATCGTCTGCCGCCGGTCCTCGATGCGCTCGATGTCTGCGAGGTTAGGATCTGGCGTCTTGGGAGCGTGCGGAGTCGCGTACTTGTGATGTTGAGGTTGAGGATGTCATCTTCCTTGACCACGTTGTTGATGAGCTTCTGGCTGTCCTCGTCCACAATGAGTATCTTCCACTGCGCGGTTGCCGTTAGCGGAGTGCAGGCGCATTGGGGGGAGCTTCATACGTCGCCGCGCGTGGTCTGCTTGATCGAGTTGAGAATGACTATGTGGCCTATCAGCACGTGTTCCTCAGGAGTTTCGAGGTATCGATTTACGGTCGCGCTGGATATCGATCATGGAAGCCATGTTGGCGGGGTATCGCAGCGAATGCCGCTGGGAAAAGGCGACGCGGTGGAAGCGGCAGCGGTAACGTGATGCGCAGACGAGGGCGTGCGTGGGCCAGCTCTGTCGGGGCGAGGCACACGTGGTGCTGGGCTGTCGCGGCGGTGGTGAGGAAGGCGCGTCTCAGCTAGAGTTGCGTCGCGAGCTGCGGCGGGCAGGCGCCGCCGGAGGTCCCTACTGTACTACCGTGGTAGATGCTTGGCAACTTTTTATTCGGCATTACGTCGTCGACTTGGACATTCCTGTCGTCCTTCGTTTGTACAGGCGCCTGGCGCTTTGGATTCTGTCTTTTCTTCCTTCTTCTCCCGCATGATACCCACCATTGGCATGCCTCTGCTGCCGGCGCGACCGAGTTCGCTATGTCTCATCTGCTCTTTCGCCGCCCGCTCTCGATCGCGAACCCAAAACCTCTTGCCCCGAATCCAAGCCGCACACCGTTCCACCCCATCCAAGCCCTCGAAGACCACCCATTTCAATCCTCTCCAGCAGGGTAAACTTCCAAAAGGAGGCGATTCCAGATCTTCCAAGTCGTCAATACCCATAGGCATAGTCCGCGACAAACTAGACACCCTGCACAAGGAATTCGCCACGCCAGAATTTCTCGACCGACTCCAAATAAGCCGCGAAGACTTCGACAAGGAATGGACTACCTTCGAGCGGTCCATCACCCTATGGATCAAGCAGGCCCCGCGTGAATTGGTCACGTTGGTGCAGGAGGCCCAGCGGAGAAAGAATACCCTGGAGAAGAGGCTACGATATCTGTTCTATGCGCAAGCATGTGGCGGCCGCTTCACGACGGCCGAGGCGGAGAACCAGAAGGAGGTGGCGGACCTGCGCTACCCAGCGGAATGGTATCCAGCGACACGAGAGATTACGCGGACAGTACACATGCACGTTGGGCCGACCAACTCTGGCAAGACGTACCATGCCCTGAAGCGTCTGGAGGAGGTCAACTCGGGCATCTACCTCGGTCCGCTGCGGCTCCTCGCCCATGAAGTCTACACGCGCCTGAATGCAAAGGGCAAGCCATGCGCTCTGGTAACGGGTGAAGAGCAGCGCTTGCCTGAGGACACACAGGCCAACATGTACAGCTGTACTGTGGAAATGGCCCCGCTCAACACTAGATTTGATGTGGCTGTCATCGACGAGATACAGATGATCAACCACCAGGAACGGGGCTGGGCATGGACACAGGCCTTTATGGGTCTACAGGCCAAGGAAATCCATCTCTGTGGAGAAGCACGCACAGTACCACTGATGCGCGAGCTTTGCGCTCTTGTTGGCGATAAAGTGCACGTACACGAGTACGAGCGTCTGACGCCACTTCAGATTCAGCCGAAGAGTCTGGGAGGAAACCTCACACTCCTTGAGAAAGGTGATTGCATCGTTGCTTTCACCGTCCTGGGTATCCATGCACTGCGACGCGAGGTGGAGAAGAAGACCGGCAAGAAGTGCGCTATCGTGTACGGAGGCTTGCCACCCGAAACAAGAGCTCAACAAGCCCGCTTATTCAACGACCCAGACAATGACTACGACTACCTCGTGGCGAGTGATGCCATCGGCATGGGTCTCAACCTGTAAGCAGTGTGTCATATTGACTTTCAATACCCGGATGCTAACCAATGTAGTGCTATCAAGCGTGTCATTTTCGAATCTACTATCAAGAGTAACGGCCTGAACTACGTGCCCTTGCAGATCTCCGAGATCAAACAAATCGCCGGCCGTGCTGGGCGCTACAAGACTGCTCAGCAAGCAGTCACTACAGACTCCGAACAGGCTTCGATTGTTGACGGCGCCGCCGACCCCGCCATTGGCCTAGACGACAAGCAACCCGATACTGTCGAGGCAAAGAGACCTGAAGAGAAGACTATAGGATGGGTCACTACACTCGACCAAGTCGACCACGCGGCCTTGAAATTGGGCATGAAGCGTGAGCCCGAACACATCAGCACAGCCGGCCTCTTCCCGCCGTCGCTTATCGTTGAGCGGTTTGCCAACTACTTCCCCCCAGGAACACCTTTCGGATACATTATGCTACGTCTACATGAGATCTCTGAGTTACACCCTCGATTCCATCTCTGTGCACTAAAAGATCAGCTGGCGATTGCTGACGCCATTCACATGGTCAAAAATCTCAGCATTCAAGACCGAATCATGTTATGTGCCGCACCCATCAACATGCGCCAACCGTCCCAGAAAGCGTTTCTGCGGCACCTTGCTGAATGCATTGCTGAAGGCAAGTCGGGTAGCCTATTGGATCTTGACACTCTGCCACTCAGCGTCATGGACCGGCCCTCGTCTGCTGAACGCAAGTATCTCCACGATCTAGAGGAACTGCACAAGATGCTGGTATGCTACCTATGGCTGAGTTACCGATTCCCCAACGTCTTCACCACCAGAGCCCTTGCCAACCACACAAAGAAACTTGTTGAGGATCAGATCGAGAAAACGTTGAACGACTTCTCATTCATTGAGCAAGCGAGGAAGCGGATGAAGACGACCAGAAAACAAGCAAGAAGATCGATGGTATCAGAACCTGAGGAAACTGGTGAAGTCGACGGCCCCCAGGTTGCGGCTTTGAAGCACCACATTTCTGCACCGCTGGGCATGCCAGAGGAAGCGAAGGAGATTCTCACCGATCCGCGATTGGCTTCCGACGAGCCCGCAACTACCGACGATGTCAACGAATACCCTGATGATCTACCAGTCACCAAGCTGGATTCTCTCGCAGCCGAACACCAGGAGCGAACTGCGAAGCTTTCAGACGAAGTCAACGACCTTCTCAAAAGCCGAGCACAGTATACGACCGACTCTAGCGAAGCCGTACGTTCCGTGAACTAGACGAGCTTTGTGTGAATGTGTGTATCAAGGATTGTACATTTGGGGTAGAGTTGTATATATTCTCCTACATACCGATGTCTGTTGTAATATAGCAGCCAAGGGCATGATACAGCCCGGCTTGCAGACTTACGACGAAACATCAAGGAGTTAGACCTGTGTTATTCCCAACGATTTGAGGCCCGTTTTGTTGGACGGGCGACCGACAGCACGAAGAAGGCCGACTCGTATCATTTGTACTTCAAATGCAGAGTATGAACTATTACCCATTTTCCCCTTGAGTTACAACAAATATTCCCACACATACCATGAAGTACAGAACAGCAAAGGAAACTCCTCCTATCTACAATCATCTACGAACTCCCACCAACCCACTCAGCTCCTCCATTCGCCGCAATCACACTCCCAGTAACCCACCTACTCTTCTCACTAACCAGAAACCCCACGACATCCGCCACATCCTCCGCCTGGCCCATTCTTCCTCCCTCAATAACCTTGACCTTCGGCACCTTCTGTTCATTTAACGCCTGCACGGCTTCGGCTGGAAAGGCGCGCAGTCCAGGTGTATCTGTCAGCCCCACCGACACGGCATTTACCGTTGTGCCAGGAAAGCTGTGTGGCAACTCGATGGCCCACGAGCGTACAAGCGACTCCATGGCTGTACGGGTCGCGTTGAATAACCCGGATCCGGGAGATGGGTCCCGCACGCGGTCGGACGAGATGACTACGACGCGGCTATGCGTCGTGAAGAGACTTTGTTGAACGAGTTTTTCCATGAGCACGATCGGCCAGTGCAAATTTCCCGTCAAAGAATTATTGATATCATCTTCGCTTGCGCTGCCCAGTCTAGGTCGCGTATTATGTGAGGCGTTCAAGACTAGGATGCTGAGTTTCTGATCCGGGAAGTGGGTTGCTAGGGCTGTGAGGAGAGTGTCGACAGAGGAGAGAGATGTTATATCTGCGGCTACGCCTCGCATAGTTGGAGCTTTGCTTTCGGTGGCAGCGTAGAGGTTGCGGACTGTGCTGGAGAGTGTGTCGAAGATATGGGCGGATTGAGGGGATGAATAGGTTCCTAAGATGGAACAGCCGCGGGTTGCGAGGGAGAGGGATATAGCGCGGCCTATGCCTTTTGATGCTCCGCTTGGGAGTTGTTAGATCGGTGTGCTACAAGTAGTTGGGTTTTGGTGGAGTGCATGCTGACATGGGAAGCCGATAGAATGCGTGTGTCATGGGATCATCATGAAAGAAAGAAAAGTGTCAAGTAATTTGATCCCCTCGAAGTGGTATTGGCGGCATCGTTGAAGAAAGTGAAGCCTTACGTGACAATGGCAACTTTGCCCTTGAGATCCTGCTCCTGTAGCGCTGGCGCTGGAGGTTGGTAGTCTGCCATGTTGGGACTAATCAACGTAATATATCTAAACACGAAGAAGGGTGTTAGGTGCGAGGGTGGAAGAATTTCGATTCCGAATATACACGTTGAATAGAATGCAATATGGTGCGACATGTACGCGCTGAGAGAAGTGAGGGCTGAATGTCAAGCTACGTCATTATAGACTACCTATACAAGGGGGACCTAGAACTTGTGTTGCCTTTGCTGCATGCACACTCTTAAGACTCGGTAAATGGATCGTTTCTAAGAGAATGTATACTTCTACCTGGATTACGCTTTAACAAACACCTTAGTTTTTGAGAAACTACGACACAAACTGTAACTATCGGCTACTCCGTCAACCTGTCTGTTCGGAGGACAGCCAGGGAAGTTATGGTCGTGAAGGTGCCAAAGACGTTTATAGGAGAATCCAAATAGAGTGGTTCATGGCCGGCATATAAGTTAGCTGGCTGAAGATTGGAACTTGGTGACGAGGGCGAAATATGTACATGGGGCTGGGATAGTAAGCGTGGAAGGCGCGCCGCGTGATGTTGTCGCGGATGCGTCATAGCTGGCGCAAGACTCGGCGAGACTCGAATTAGTAGGCGCAACACCAGCAACGATGAAACCTAAAGGAGATATGGCATTCTAGCGCAAATATAATGAATCCAGTGTGAATGAGGTCTGCGCGAATCATGGTACAAAGTATATCCATGGATGGAGGGATTGCACGACCACGACTCGCATGTATTGAAAGGGGCGCTAAATCTCCCGGGCCTTCCGCAGTGCTTGCGCCTTGCAACAACGAACATCGTCACCCAAACTCTTTCACTCCAATCGTCATCTCCCTATAATAGCCACGATGAACATCCTCGATATCCCACGTCCCACGGTAAGTGAATCTAAACCTTAAAATGGACAGGACTGACCCGCGCGCAGACGTTCCTCCAGAAGATGTCTCTTCGGACGGGGGCCGAGATCATTACTTACCTCCAAGTCATAAACAAGGCGTCGGGAGTCTACGGCCTCCTTGCGCTTCTTACCGGCGCGAAGATCGATGGCTTCCAGCTGTCCATGTACCTCTACTCGACCGTCGCACTCCTCGCTACCACATTCCTGTACAAGCACATCCGGTTACAAAGTCCCTTCGAGTCGGTATTGCTGGCGCACCTGTATGCGCTCGACTCGGTCATCAACGCGTTATATACAGCCTTCTTCGGCATCGCGTGGTTCTACACGCTCGCCGCGCACCCAGACGAGAATGCCGGACTATCGCCGGGCATGAAGGACAACGCGGGTTTCACCAGCCCCAAGCACAACGTCACACAGGTCGATATTATCGCGGAGCCCACCGACGGCCTGAAATCTGGTCAGAACGCCGTAGCAGTCGGACAAGGCGGAGATGCTGGCGCGGGGTTGGGCAACGCCGTCTTCCAAAGCGGAAGCATCATGAGCATCTCGCTCATCTCTGGCTTCTGGGCTCTTCGCGTCTACTTCGTCTTCATCATGCTGGCTTTCGCGCGCCAGTGCCTCCGCCAACACATCGCCGCAAACGCCTCCTCCGCCGCATGGTACAACTCGAACAACATGCAGACGTCCGCAAACGATCTCGCTGAAAACCCTTTCGCAGAAGGCAAAGAAGAGGGAAGCGGCTGGAAGGGGCAACTAGGACGCGTCATGCTCAGCGGTGCGCCCAAGTACTGGCTTGGTGCTGATGCCGGCGAGGGCGAGGACTGGATGCGCAGTTTGGGTGGCAAATTCAAGAAGACCGCACAACTAGACCAGCCTGTTGGTTTCAACGAGCGCGAGCGGAGGCGGAGAGCTGGAACTGGCCCGCCAGTCCCCCAGCTTAAGCTAAATCCGGAGCTGCCCAAGTAGACCGAGTCTGAGGCGCGTTCCTGGCCTACCAGGCTTTGTGGACGAGGGGAGGGGATGATTTATGACAGAGCCAGAAGTTGTAATGACATGACCTAGGGTTGCGCATTCTCGAACTAGAAGCGCACGTGTACCATATACATCTATCATTTTGGCGTACATCAGACGGGCAGAATCGCACGATAGCGAAGCTCGTCAGATCTACCACTATTTTCCGCGTAGCATAGCGTTTTCTATTCGCAAATTAATCTCTTCACCACAAGGAGGAACACCAATGACATTCTCTCGCCCGACGTGCTCCTACGCTCTGACTCATCTGGCACCAAATCTTACGCGTTCCAAGATTGTAGGGCAAGAGTGGCGGCGCAGTCAGGGCGCTTAGCAGCGTCCACCGGGTCACCCCACCACACACGTTGCAACTAGCCCCACCTCGGTTAGGCCAAGCACATCAGGTGAATGACGGCTGTCTCACCTACACCGCCGGACACGTCTGCTGGACCCTGACAACGGCAAAGTGGTAGGCATGTGCCTGGACTCGAGGTGCCATGTGCGTTGCGTGCCACTGTCAGGCCCCGTTAGAAACCGCGGCTGGATGACATGTCGTGCATTGGTGGCCGGAGGCCAGGCGCATTGATAAGGGGATGCAGTGGCCGCGCGCGAGACGGCGTCGAGCTTGCAACGGCTATGTCGGTACCTTTCTTGATGTGTTGTTGACTAGTCCTCGTCATTAAAGTTATACGCTGGCAGTGTTGACTTATAGCGTCTGTTGCCCCTTTGTGGTACTCATATATTGGTCTCAGCCTCAAAACTCCGTAGCCTCATAACGACCACACGGGTAGTGAAGAGATAGATCAAGACGCAAGCATGAACATCTTCCGTCGATCTATGAGCTTCGGCTCCTCACACTCATCACGTCCTTCGACCATCGACTCGGCCTCCGATACCGCAAGCTCTCGAACGAGCATAGATTCTACCTTTGAAGAGTACGAGATTACAGACTCCCTGGCTACAATCAAACCCTCACCACCGTCACCGAAAGCTCCGGTACTTACTCTCCCACTCGAGCTCATCCAGCAAGTCAACACCTATCTCGACACTGCCTCCGCCGCGGCCTTCTGTCTATCCGGACGCTACATCTACTACGCTCTCGGCACTGAAGTCCTGTCTCGCCATGTCAAAGGAAGCAAGAATCGTTTTGAGAAGAGAAAGATTATCGAGGCGGTAGTAGAGCGCGCCTTTCCAGGTCATTGGTTCTGCGGCTGGTGTGACAAATTCCACGCTTGGGCCGCGGAAGACGGGCCAAAGAACCAGCAATATTCAAGAAAGAGAAGAGATTGCGCCGACTACAACAGCTACTTGGACGCTGGAGACGGTTATAAACTACGCTTTCACCACGTTCGACTTGCCATCAACCGCGCGTCACGGGGAGACGAACACGGCATTCCCCTATCTGCGTTTACCCATGAGAAGAAAGACATGGCGCGCATCTCCAGGACACCCGTTCCCACTAAACTCACTGTATTCGCCAGGATAGTCAACGGCCGATTGTTGTTGCACAGTTCTTATGCCATTGTCCTACCCGCCTTTACGACGCGTAATCGCAATCTGTTGAAGTCGCTTTGGCCTCTCCTCCCACACATTGTCACCGGCCACCGCGATACGCTAAACGGCCACACAGGCATCATGGCCGCCATCGACAACGTCATTCGCCGAGGTTGGAAGTACCAGTTCACGCAGAACTGCTCCACTTGTGCGACCGATTGGAGCGTTACCAGCCAAGACTTCTCGCATACTACAGGCGGACAGGTCAGGTTGGTGGTGCAGAGCTGGCGGGATCTGGGTACGGGAAGGACGCCGTTCGAGACGGGGTGGAGAGCGCATGGCGTAGGAAGCTGTGCTGAGGGTAGTGGGGCCAACACTTGTCTCGTGAGACTTACCAGCCGACCTGCGGGAAGTGTCAGACGTGCATTCGAGGCTGCGGATGTGGAAGATGGGGCGAAAGAAGCCACTCACCCTGGGGTTGTGGCGGCTAGCAGCGCACCCAAGTCGCGCATCTATCGGTCCTTCATGAGGAGGAATACTTCGGAAGAAGGCCAAGATGAGATCAGACGGTCCAGTGCAAGACCGAGATATTGGCGGACGAGAGAAGAGAACGAAGCAGTGGCTCGGAAGTACGCTGAAGACACACGAGATGTTGCCAGAGATGTTGCTGAAGAGTTGATTCGGTTAGATGCTCGTCATGGGCATGGACTTTTCTAGACGTTCTTTCGGGTTTCTTAGCTTATTTAGCATTCTTTGAGTACCTGCAGCCGCTATTCATTGCAAGGATGGTACTGAGTACAAAGCGTGGGTTTAGATATAGACATTTCGGAGTTGGGCAATATACCACATACTAGGCGATATGCCTACACTATGGAAGAATCTTGACTAGAAGTAAAACTGAACGGAAAGAGGCTTGTAAAGACGGAGAATAGTTCAAAGTGATTACCTAGCATCAGGTACCTAGGTACCTAGACTTCGATGTCTCGAGGTGCGGGGGGATACGCTAGCCTTCTTGAGGTCTAGACCTTTGGACCCTTCCTGCCGACTTTGGGGGGTGTCCAAACTCCAAACACCATCGCAACCTATCTCCCTACTTACTAGATAGATGCTTCTCACTTGCGATACATGTCGGAATACGTTACATAGGTGACAAAATACGAATTGCCCAAGTCTTTGAACTTCCTAAAGACTCTGAAGTGTACCCAGGTATGTGACCAATCTATGCTTCCGGAGCTACGTATCTCACTCTCGGTTTCAAGCAGAGTGATGCAGACTCGGTACCAGCCAAGTTTGTCCACTGAACTGCGCGTTTGGTGCCCCTGAGCCGTGTTGTGAGGTCACGCTGTCACGATGATTGCGGCTCAATGTATTATACCCGGTCACAGTATATGACAGCGCACCTGATTCGCTAAGCCCTGGAAAACTGGCCGCCCACCTGGATTACAACCCCATGGACCTGTGATCGTCGAATATTGGTGCAGAGTTCATATCGAGTGGCCGGAGCTTATATTGCACGTTGCTGGAAGTTTAGGCTGAACCTCGGACCTCATGCACAACAAACCATCCTGGGAGACAGCATCTGCGTCTTTGCGGTGCAACGCTACTTGGAGACTTGCCATAACCCACGATTCAAACGACGCGTTGATGGTCTTCTGTCACAAGCTTTGCTTGCCAACGACCTAGCAGGCGGACAAATTCATGGCGAACCTTGGGATGTTCCGGTCTTGGCGAGCGGGCACCCCTGGACCTCAATCTATTCTGCACCAGCAGTTCGACCGAGAAATCCGGTCGATGCCACTCTGCTAAGGCTCAGGGCTACTTGATTAAGCTCTGAAATTCATAGCCAATTGTGGACGAGGGTCTCGTCCCGTCTGCTCCGGAAGCTTCGTTTTGCTTACAGGGTTTCGGCGCTTCAACTCGGTACCTGCATTCCACCACGAAAGGACACCTGATGAAACTGCCTCAATGCTTCTCATACATTTCAACACGGGGAAACATACTGGCTGAACAGCCTCAGTCGATACCATTCGTACACCGGCATGTCAAGCAGCGCCAGGCATGGTTGGTTACTACAACAATGAGACTCGAGCAACAGAAGGAGGGGCACAATGCAACTTACCTGACGGTATCCTTGTGCCGCTTCTAGTGAAGTACATATCTCAGTCTTCTTTCTTCTTATTGGATTTCACGCCCAAACCGTTACCCAGGAAAAGATCTGAGCCTCATGACCTCTGCTACAGATTAAGTGTGCCCCCCAGTCCGGAAAATCTTTCTAGAAAAGTCTCTCGTATATGCCCATGGATCATGGAAAAAGCAATCTATTCCTACCGGGTTTTGACCTCATCGGGTGGAATTGCACAAAACAACGCGATATGGTCCTGAGCTGTACCCAAGGTACAACACACATTGGAGTATACATCGTTGCATATCTTTTTACTGTGAAGGCCAGCATGATGTATTCTCCTGGGTGGTGTGTGCACATGCTGTCACTCGTGACCCAGCCACAATACTGTATGCAAATATCAAGAACACAGCTACGAGTGCTGATCCACAGCTTTGCCTTCTCACATACGAAGCTGACCCATCACTGTCGAATGAGAAGGAAGGCTAAGACTTGGCCACCAGTGAAGCCGACGGTTGATAGTACGTCTCCATATGCTTCTCCATTCGTCACTCCCTACACTATCTCTTTAAGGCAAAGATCCCGGGCGTGGTGGCGCACAGATCTCCGCAATACCCCAGACTACCCCACGATGCGGCGCAACAGGGCATGCCTCATCTATAGTTCATTACTCTGGCACTCCTAGCGTCCTTTTGCGCTCCCGATGTTCCGTTCCTTCCACAACATTGGTGAGAACAGCATGGAGGGACGTCAAGGGTGTAGATCTCCTGCACCTTGCAATAATCAACAGTCATATGGGTACTTCTGCAGAGTACTTTGATTAGTAGCCATGAGCTCAAGAATGTTGTATAAGAAGGTCAGCCCATCGCTCCAATACTTTCGACATCCAACAACATATCTTCACTCAAGAAGCCAAAATGTACAGGACACTCGCCCTCACCTCGCTCTCGCTCTTCGGAGCCGCCCGCGCTCAGCAGGCTGGCACATCGACAGCAGAGACACACCCCAAGTTGACATGGCAGACTTGCACTGGTACCGGTGGAAACAGCTGCACCACCAAGCAGGGTTCCATTACGCTTGATGCCAACTGGCGCTGGTCTCATGTCACCAGTGGATACACCAACTGCTACGACGGCAACTCTTGGAACACGACCGCTTGCCCTGACGGCAGCACTTGCACCAAGAACTGCGCTATCGACGGTGCTGACTACTCTGGTACGTTAACATGTCCACGACACAACATGTGGAGCCCTTAGCTAACGATCTTAGGCACCTACGGTATCAAGACCAGCAGCAACTCTTTGAGCCTCCAGTTCGTCACCAAGGGTTCTTACGCTGCAAACATTGGTTCTCGCACCTACCTCATGGAGAGCGACACCAAGTACCAGATGTTCAACCTCATCGGCAAGGAGTTCACCTTCGATGTCGATGTCTCCAAGCTACCCTGCGGTCTGAACGGTGCTCTCTACTTCGTCGAGATGGCCGCCGACGGTGGCATCAACAAGGGCAACAACAAGGCCGGTGCCAAGTATGGAACCGGATACTGCGACTCGCAATGCCCCCACGACATCAAGTTCATCAACGGTGTAGCCAACGTTGAGGGCTGGAACCCGTCCGACGCCGACCCCAACGCCGGCTCCGGCAAGATCGGTGCCTGCTGCCCCGAGATGGACATCTGGGAGGCCAACTCCATCTCCACTGCCTACACTCCCCATCCTTGCAAGGGCACTGGTCTCCAGGAGTGCACTGACGAAGTCAGCTGCGGTGACGGCGACAACCGCTACGGCGGACTATGCGACAAGGACGGTTGCGACTTCAACAGCTACCGCATGGGTGTCAAGGACTTCTACGGCCCCGGCATGACTCTCGACACTACCAAGAAGATGACCGTCGTCACCCAGTTCATCGGCTCCGGCTCCAGCCTCTCTGACATCAAGCGCTTCTACATCCAGGGCGGAAAGGTCTTCAAGAACTCCGACTCCGCTATCGAGGGCGTCTCTGGTAACTCCATCACCGAGTCCTTCTGTGAAGCGCAGAAGACCACTTTCGGTGACACAAATTCCTTCAAGACCCTCGGTGGCCTCAACGGAATGGGTGCTTCGCTTGCTCGCGGACACGTTCTCGTCATGTCCCTCTGGGACGACCATGCGGTCAACATGCTCTGGCTCGACTCTACCTACCCTACCGATGCTAGCCCTGACAAGCTTGGTGCTGCCCGTGGTACCTGCGCTACCGACTCTGGCAAGCCTGAGGATGTTGAGGCTAACTCGCCCGGCGCCACTGTCGTCTTCTCCAACATCAAGTTCGGACCCATTGGTTCTACCTTCGCCCAGCCCGCATAAGCGCTCGATGGGGTTGTTGGATACGATGCTGGAAAGGAACTGGAGCTTGGTACTGTAAGAGTTTGTGGATTCCCTCCGGCTGTCCTCTCGTTTGGCTTCGCAATTGTATATACTTGTGGTGGATCTAGAAGTGTGCATATAGAGACAAATTGACTGCATTCGTTATATTGAACGTGCCCACTATGAGATTCGTGTGTGCAGCTCTATGACTTATTAATCTTCGTTCACCAAAGCCTTCACTCGCTTTTTGTAGCCCTCAAAGCTCTTGTTGCAATCTTTGATCTTGTCATGTAAGCGTTTGACCTCGAGGGTGCTGTTATGCACCCAACGCCGAAGCCTCGCATTCTCTGCTCTCAGCCTAGTAACCTCGTCGTTGACTGGGGTGATCTGAAACTCCATATTTTCGATGCTTTCTTTCAGGCTCTCTTTCTCTCGTCGCAGTATGTGCATCTCCTCGTTTGTCGCCTTGAGTGTAGCAGCATGGCCGACAACCTGATGCTCCGCTGCATGTCGAAGTTGGGTGATAGCTTGTTCATGAGTACGGGTGCGCTCAGCAAGCTCGTCTCGGAGGTGGTCGTTATCGTGTTGAAGCCGCTCGTAGCCCTGAGCGAAGGCATTCAGACTGGCAAGATCCTACGTTCCTAAATTAGCATGACAAATTCATACGCGTATGGATACTCGGTACGTACAGGTATAAAGCGGTTCTACGCACTTTCGTCGCGCGAATCGTGCATTGCCTCTTCGCGTTTGAGTGCCATGTTGTTGATGACTGATTGAGGATTTCGGCGGTATCATTCAGTGACAAGAAGAGATTGGTGGACTGAGCCTCACCAGATAGTGTTGTTGATGAAATGTGATTGAGCCGAATAAGATAACGAAGAGGTGAACGCTCACATGAGCGGTGAAAGTGAGGGCATCGCTAAATTTCCGCGCACTTTTGCAGCTCACACCAGTAGAAAATGATGCAGTCAGAACTGTGATGTGTAATGATAGAAGCCACGAGTCGATGAAAGATGACTAGTTACTCTACAGTCTAGGGATACCAATTTGAGTACCGACCTCTTGTAAGCTTTCTGTATTGATCCTCCACATCGCGCCCTTGTTCCCATTGTTCCCGCTCCCGTCCGACTAACGCAGACAAACCCATCCCTCTCGCCTGATATGTCTCGGAGAACAATGGAAAGTCGTTGCATGCAACAATTTCGATACATCCTTGAGCACCAATAACAGCATGCTTTTTCGACCTCAACACCCTGCTCACACGAATGTTCCCCGAGATGCTGTCTTCGGTGTAATGTCGCTCGCTCTGTTCAAATTTCGGGTGAAGCATGGGTAGCATGACGGTGACGTCGAGATTGGGATGACTACTTAGTTGTATGAGAAGAGGGTCAAGGGTCGAGCGCTCGTTGACCACTACCCAAAATTGCGGCTCATTATGATCGAGCCACAAGTCCAGCTTCTTGAGAGCTTCGAAACGACTGAGAATGGAGCCCAAATCTTGCCAAAGACGTGCTGGCTGCGTTGCTGGACCTATTTCTGAGGATGTAGGATAGTTGCCTGAGAGTCCCTCCACTGACTGGAAGAAAGCTAACGGAAGCTTGAGCGTGATACTCAGACGACTGACATTCAATACTGGCATCTTCGCGAGTTCGGAAGAGACTGACATAGTTACCTCCGAAGCTCTTGCCCAGTAATCGATGAGGTCCAGGTCGGAGACATGGATAGTCGAAGTACGAGCAAGGAAATCGTACACTTCATTACGACTAATGGCGTAAGCGCTTGACACCAAGCCTTCCAATGTACTTACACGCCCGGGAAAATGTTCAGAAGATTGGGAATGTCCGTACATTCAGTCAACAAGAAGTGTGACAACGAGGTGTGTTCCTCGCACGACCAGTGAAGACCCCAGGTTGACTGTAGACGACGGGCGTACACAGACGTGGGCACATGAACTTGCCAAGTCTCGTCGGTGTATTCAATGTCGTAACTAGATACATCGCCGCGGAAAGGGGCACCGCCTTGAATACAGGCCGATGCAAGGAGCGTGCCATTACGGAGGCGTAGGTGGACGTCGTTAGGCAGCAGGTATGAGTAAATCTGAAGCCAGAGTTCTATAGGTAGGCGTAACAGTGTACTTTGGCTTTGCGGCATTCTGGCGGGAAAGATCAGAGTATTGAGTCTGGCGTAATGGAGGACGGTAGTGATGGCTTCTAAGGCTGTAGGTGCGAAGATTGTGACGTGCCCTCCTGTGAGCTGCGGCACAGCGATAACTAACCCGAAGCAGCTAGTGTTGGCCTGGGGGAAGGAAGGAGTGCCCCAGGGCATTTCTCAATCCCTAAGGAAGATTGTGTCTTGAAAGAACAGCCTCACGTATTGGCCGAAGTGAAAATGCTTCATGTACGCGGGCCTCAGCAGCCTCTGAAATATCGACAAACATCGTCTACCACCTGCACATAGCCAAAGGTTGCGCAGGATCGTCAGCATCACACCACATACCCGTGGACATGCCGTTCACCAGATTCCATAACAAAAAAATACAATTGCCTACCCTCGGCTACTCAGCCATCATTGCATAGTCTATCGAGCGTCTAGCCCATCCAGATCCAAGCTCACAAAAGAAAAAGGTGTCGCATCCTCGTCCCCACTAGCATATATACAGTTTCCGTGGTGTTGCTGTAAGACTTCCACCCCATGTCTAGGGTCTTTGCTGACTTGCTGAAGGTGTCGTTTTACTCCTTCTTGACGGTGTCTGGGTCTGCGAGGATACCCTCGGCTTCGAGTCTTCGTCGCGCCTCTTCTAGGGCCCAGGTTTGGATGCTGGTGGGGTGTTAGTCTCTGCGCGACCAATGCATTGCCGCTGCACTCTTTCTGCCGCTTCTTTGGGAGCTGTTTCCATCGCCCATTCATAACCCCTCCCTCCTATTCCACCTCTTCACCCACCCCGCACGATCCCCACTCATCTCCCTCCAACACGAAATTTGCACATACCTAGTATCCGGCTTGAAAGCGTAAGCCACAACGCCAAACGCACAAGCTCCTCCAAAGCCCCAGTACATGGCGTTCTCCCACCCCTCCTTCTCATACTGCTCGCCGGGCTTGACGCCAAAGAGCCATCCGGATGGAGGATCGTAGCTGGGTCCGTGACCTGAGCGCTTCGTTTGTGACTGTGAGAAGGCTCGGCGGGGAGCTGCTGTGCGAGCCGAAGCGGTGAGGGCGGTGCGCGAGGCGCTGGTCGCGGCGCGGACGGAGTTCATGGTGCTCTGCAGGCGAGCGGATCGAGGGCTGAGGTAGACGTAGAGTGGTGTGATAGGTCCCGGCGTAGGGGCAGCGGGTTGTGATGGGGGCTAATAGGTGCTGGTTGTGTCGTCGTCAAGGTGAGGTTCCGCGTTCCCTGCGATTGCTTGGCGTGGCGGCGGCTAGTGGCGCCGGAGCGAAGGAGCAATGAGACATCGAACTGCTCCAGGGCTCCTCACAGGGCTTGTTGTTAAAAATTAAATTGCAACTAACAGAGCATGTTTCATAGGGAGACTACAGAGTTACTGTAATGTAGAAGTGTAACATTTCTCTCAAAATGATGACTATGTAGTGTACCATCAGTACCTAGGTAACTGATCTGTGGTATAAGAGCCCGTAACGCCAGTGCTATGCAGATAAACCATTTGAACGCAGAATAATCAAAGTATGCCTAGGCATAAGCAGGTGTGCGCTTCTCCCCCTCGGGATCTTCCATCTCATCATCCGGCTGATGGAAAGACATCCTTGCCATGCTCTGAGATGCCTCATCGACCTGGTTCTCCGTTCTGCCCGCGTCAACAGCGTCCTTTTGCCGTTGTTCCTCGTCTGCAACTTCCTTCTCCCTGCGCTTCTTCTCCACTGCCTCAAGCTCTGCGAGCCTTGCAGCGGTCCTCTCGGCCTCTTCCTTCTCGCGCTTCTCGCGATCCGCCTTCTCAAGTGCTTCGAACTCGTCGTCAATCTCGCCCTCATCCAGCGGCTGGTCGGTCTCATTGATGATATTCGTGATTTCTTCCGTGGTCGCCATCTGTTCGTTGACGGCATCGACGACACCCTGAACGCCTTCTGCACCGCCAACCTTCTCGTTGAGACCTTTGAGGGCCGCTGCACCAGCCTGCATGGCCTCTACGATCTCGACCTGATCAGCGGCTTGTTGTAGATCGGTGTAGACTTGCTCGAGCTGGAGGGCGACATCGGAACGTTGAGCGAGAGCGTTTTCGGCAAGCTTCTTGGAGCGCAGTGCAGCTTTGGCGCGGACCATCTGCTTTGCAACCACAGCTTCCCGTGCAGCTGCATCGGCCAAAGCAATCTTCTCCATCAATGGGGGTATATGCGCATTGATATTCGCTAGTGTGTCGCGAAGATTGGCAATAGCGACATCATCTTCTGTGACAGGCAGGGGGGCAGCCTCATGTTCTGGCTTGAACTTGATTGTCTGATCGTTGTGAGATATTGCTTGCTTGTCTCGGGCGAGGAAGACGAGGAGAATATCGAGGTCGTTCGTCGTGAGTGGTGCAGTCGGATTTAGTATAGTCGCGAAACGCTTCAAGAAGTCTGTCTTCGATAGTACCCGATCAGCCGTAGATACGTGCTCCTTCATCTTCTTGAGTATCTCGTCCGCTGCAACTTCGACATTCTTGACGACGACGAAGTTCCCCACCTCCATCTTGGCCGGTGCCCGTACCTGCCCCAGTACCCCAACCTGCCGCAAGCTCCATTGAAGCACCTGCCATGGCGAGGGTATCCACGATGTCTTGTATATGCTCTCTTTTGACGACATGAAGTCCTTCAAAGGTACCATTTCCTTCTTTTGCACTGCTTCATGGAAGACGGCCGGTAGACACGTAGGCTTGCCATATTGCGGGTGTTGTAGGGCTCGCGCGAGCTCGTCGGCAGCTCGTATGTTCAGGAGATCGTGGGTGGTGCCTTGCCTGGGGATGACGCCCGCCCGTGAAGCATCGACGAGAGCTTTTGTCCACGCGGCGATGTTGGCATGGTAGCCTTCGGGGTTTATCTCGAGCTGCTGCCGAAAGTCTGCATAGAGCGATGCAAGGCGATGCTGGCTGTGCTAGTCAGCAATGCAGGGTGTCGCCGACATGTGGGTGGTCTTACTTCTTGAAGGCATCTTCATGTTGCAGGACGAATTCTAGCAGTTCACTCATGTCGCGCTCTGGCTCGGGTACCCACTGCGCCCTGTTGTGCTGGGAACGGAAGAGCGAGCGCTTCCGCTTATGACGACTAAGCGTGGGGTCGCTGCTAAAGATGGAGACGTGGGGGCCGCCGCTGGGGACCAGGTCGCGCGAGGGCTTGCGTTTAAGCATGTGCGCAGTCAAAAACAGCCAAGGGAGCAATACGATGACATTAGACGGTATCGATTAGGGTCTAGTGCAGGGCCAGATTCTATACAATAGTCGACTATCGAGCCGTGCGGGCGCGTGCATGTTTGCTCACGCGACGCGTTGTTTCAAGATCCAAACTTGGACTAAGTGCCTGGCCTTCCTTCACGGTGGTTGCGCGCAACTCCTCGGCTCAAGCCATTCCCTGTACTTCAAGCGGTGCTCCCATTCCCAACCTTGCAAGATCCCTACAAGCTTGCAAATCGCCATGACGCTTAGATCGTCACTCTATCTAGATAGGATCTGTAGCCATACAGTCCTCATCGTGAAAGCTCACAAAAAGCTGACATCGCTACTATAGCGTCAGAGAGCACGCTGAACAGGCGTGCCGTTGTTGCGCTGCCTACAGGTCCAGTGCATCCTTACTTCACTTCCTAACTACATTGATGCCCGAGTCCTTCTTCTCCATGAACTGTCGCATCTCTTCAAGATCGCCCATGTCGTCGTCACTATCTTGATCCTTTGGCTTTGTAGGTGATTTCGCGGCAGGCGTTGCTTGGGGAGGGTTCTGTGGTGGTGGGTCGCGCATCTCTTTGGTCTCGTCCTCCCATGCCTTCCTCTCTTCTTCGTCAAGCTCGTCGCGCCTGTCCAGCCACCTCTCCTGCACATCCCGAGCATCCATGGTTGCCCCGTTCTCGCGCATAGCCATTTGCCACACTGTGTCGTTTGCGCCCTCTATTCCACCCATCGCGAAGCCACCTGCCCGATCGATGGCCCGCAGTAGCGTCATCATGCTCTTCTTATCCTCAACCGCCAGTGTCTCGAACCCTACCAGCGCAAAGTCCTCGACGAGTTCTACGATAGCCTTGTTCAGCGCGGAGAACTTGGAGGTCGGCTCGTCATCGTCCGGATCCACGTCCTCGTTTGCGCCGGCTGTGGTGGGGCCCGGAATGCCGGACGTCTGTTCGCGGTTGAGGTGCGGCAGTAGGTACTGGAGATCTTGGACTTCGGTGTAGTAGTCGAGATTGAAGGGTAGATTGGGATAGTTGCGGAGGTTATCGATCTTGGTGAGAACGTTCAGGTGAGGCAGGTCCATCTGCAGCATGCTGCGCAGGGCGAGCAGGAGGGAGGAAACGTAAAGCGACGGTCGCGAGAGTATGATAGAGTCGGTCAGGTGTACAACGACGAGCTGGCGCATGTTAGCCTCCAGTTGCAAGCCACGGGCGGTGGGCGAATACTCGATACCCAAGTTTTTGTAGGCGGAAGAAGATGTTGCGCAGCGAGCCGTGGTGTGTGAAGAGCTCGACCTGGCCGGGGCAGTCGAAGAGAATGTAGTCATCTAAGCCTGTTAGTAGACTCCAGAAATGTGCAGTGTTGTCGCAAACCTCCTAGTTCCTTCAGGCTCTCTTCTAGCCAGTCGAAGTTGTGTTCCAATTCTTCGAGCGCGAATAGAATTCCTCCGTTCGGGCCCAGAGTCTCCTGCTCCATGATCTCGTCTATCGTGACCAGGTCTCGGACGTCTACCGCGGGCTGGTACGAGGTGTGATCGTTGGCGGGGTCGAGGTTGACGACAGCGCACTTGCGCTCGATGGCGCCCATGAACTGCTGCATGCCATCGCAGTACGTCGACTTGCCCGAGCCCGGCGGGCCTATGACGAGCTGTGCAAAGGGCATCGTGGTTGGTGTAAGCGTGACGAGGGAGTTGCTGGGGAACTTTTGGAGGGGCGTTAGCGCAGATCCCAAATGTTTGGCTTGCGGACTCCCGCGCCCTCGAGAGCTTCACTCCAGCGCGCAGCTTCCACCACGCGCAGCAACACATTTCGCCAACATGTCAAGTAAGCTGCTTATAACTCGCTACAGCAACTCTATAGCTACAGAGACTCGGACTAACCCAGCCAGGCCAATTCGAGCTTGCGCAAAACCCGACGGAGCCCATCTCGTCGGTCAAGTTCGCGACCAACAACCCAACACGCCTGCTCGTCTCCTCCTGGGACCGCCATGTCTACCTCTACGACACGCATGCTGAGCCCGGCGGCAAGCTGCTCCAGAAATTCGAACACCGCGCGCCCGTGCTAGACGTCTGCTTTGGGCGCGACGACAACGAGGCCTTTTCATGCGGGCTCGACTGGGAGGTACGGAGAATCGACCTCGAGACGGGCGCGCAGACCATCATGTCTACACACTCCCAGGGTGTTCGCAATGTCCTCTACTCCGCCCCGCACAACCTCCTGATCTCTTCATCATGGGACTCGACACTGCACCTCCACGACCTGTCGCAACCCGGCGACTTCTCTGCCATCCGCCTGCCGTCCAAGCCCTTCTCCCTCTCCGCCTCGCCCACCAAACTAGTTGTCGCCATGGCCAGCCGCGCAGTCAACATCTACGAGCTGGACAAGCTGGCAGAAGCTGCCAAGACAGGCGGCGGTGAGGAAGTGGGAGTGGAGCCGTGGCAGCAGCGGGAGAGCTCTATGAAGTATATGACACGCGCCGTGTCTTGCATGCCAAACGATGCAGGATACTCCAGCTCGAGCATTGAGGGGCGTGTAGCAGTCGAGTGGTTCGACCCATCTGAAGAGTCGCAGTCGCGCAAGTACGCGTTCAAGTGCCACCGACAAAATGTTGATGGCCAGGACATCGTCTACCCAGTTCACGCCCTCGCATACCACCCCGTCCACGGCACTTTCGCGACAGGTGGTGGCGACGGTATAGTCGCTCTTTGGGACGCAGTAGCAAAGAGGAGGATAAGACAGTACCAGAAGTTCCCTGCTAGCGTCCAGACCATCGACTTCTCCAACGACGGCAAATACGTAGCCATTGGAGTGAGTCCAGGTTTCGAGGACGGCGTCGACGACGTCCCTGACGGCGTGACCAAGGTCTTCATCAGAGAATTGAGTGCGACCGAGGCGTCCGGCAAGAAAAAATAGGCACGATGATGTATGTTCACGGCTGTATGGGATTGCAAGATAAATATACCAGTTGATCAATCGAGCTTTAGATGGCGAACGCCTTCCACTACCGATCCCAAGTTTTCAAATCAACTGAGGTTGGTCTCCAAAATGTGATGCACGTGCTTCAGCTCAATTAACACGTGGAAAGGACCCGCAATCGCTCCTGCACACAGATGCCAATCTCGCCGCTCCTACACAACCGCCGCGTCTTCTATGTCACCGACTCTAATCGCTCTCCAACCGGCATTGGTCGATGCGAAGCGCTTGGCAGATCTCCTCCCTCATACCTTTCCTGATGACACTGCGCTTGTTCTCCTCCCAGTTCCAGAGTTCAGCTCGATGGACGATCAGTACTTTCAGAACATTTCTCGTTCGCTCGATCAAATGGAGCATGCCCGAAGCGAAGTCTCTCACGGAATCATCTTCGCTGAGCTCAGGTCTGTCTATAACGACGTGCACCTCCTCTGTCTGAAGATCGATGATCTTGAGTAAGGCTTCCGAGAGATGCTCGGTCTTTTCCTCTGGATCACCGTCCCAGGCAATATGCGACTGGATGTCGTACCAGTCCTGGCCTTTTCGGACCACTGCCGGATTCTTTTCTAATAGCTGGAAGATCAACCGCGCTAGTACATTCTGCAAGGTGCTTGATCTGGTGCAGATCTCAAAGGCAACTGGTCGGGGTTGAAATAGCCGGTCAAGCACGATATCCACAGCCACTGGAGATAGCCAGGACAGTGCCACTTCACCGACACCTTCTTCATTGCAGCCCGAGAGCATGAGGAGACAGGACGAACTTTCTTGCCAGGCGCGCGCCTTTCTTTCCGCCATCAAATCCGATTTGCATAGCTTTGAGCGGTGTCTGTCGTCATCGAAGCTGGATGCTAGCGCCTTGCGATACTGCTTCAGCGAGAGCACGGCATCCTCGGTTCGATAACTCCCAATGTTCAGCGCATCGCGTAACGAAACGACCCTGGTTCTGTCTTCACGCTCGTAACTATCTGTTGAATCTTAGTATATCGACATGCATCATCGATTTCATACGTACCTTTGAGCTCGTTCGCAAGTTCATCCACGCGTTGGGCTAGGAGGACGTCGCATCTTATCCGGATACGCCGGAAGTTGTCCCTCATGTTTTGTTCAAGGACCTCAAAACCAAGTGGGTTTCCAAAATTGATCACTTGGCGTCCTGTTCAGTCGTCAGTGGAAGGAACTCAACTCTTGATGCTACAATGGCGCTATGTACCCCAAGTCGACCCAAGAAAGTAAGTTGTCGCTGCTCGCGCAAGCATGATGATGTCCTTGTAGGCATCAACAAGCATCAAGCCTAGTTTTGGCTCAGGGTAGATCTTCCGGTATACCTCCAGGTCTGGAAGACGATCAGATATCTGTTCCATTGCGGACACAATGGCTTCTTCGTTCTTGATCTTCAGCTTCACAGTCTTGCGCGGGTTAGCCATACTCCGATACGGCTTTCGTGGTTGGGCCCTACCGAGAAAAGCAACGCGAGTGTTGAGCCCGCTATCCCGCCGTATTGAGCGTCGGCTGTTTTGACAATGTCTAGGATTCCAGAGTAGGCATTTAGAAACCTATCGAACTGCATGACGAACCTCTCCGTCTTTGACCAGGCTTTTCGGACACCGTCAGATCGTCTCTGGTCCAGGGTAGTATGCGCTGCCCCAAGGTCTTCAGCGTGTTTGTGGACGTAGTTGGACAACACATCGAGTGGCATAGCATTTAGCGACTGCAGCAGATCAATCTCTTTCTTCGGATCTGTCAAGGGGGCATCATATTTCTCCGGCACGGAATTGAGAATGCTTCTCAGCTCTGCTTTGACTCCGAGCCCTGTCCGCTTGAGTTTGCTACTCAGGTAACTGTTGTGTTCCGCAACGAAATGCGATAAGGGCAAATGTTTCCTATTGCAGTCAGTCGAACTCATAACATCCACAGACTTTCCCTCAGGGTACGCACATCCACTCTGCATTCGGGAACCATTGCGACACCGGTCTTCGTTGCGTTTCATCTTGCCTGATGTCCATCTTTGAGTTTACAACAGAGATGCGCCGGCTTTCGGGGGAATTCACTGCAAGGAAGCGACCGAGCAGGGTATGCATGGCTCCTTCCCATTGCTACTACCGCACAGCTGAAACTTGCATAGGTTACAACGCAGGTTACCTATCCACATAATCCAACAATGCAGGGTTGCGACCAGCTTTAGAATTTCAATACGCGATGCATATATGGAGGCTGGGGGTGTACGAATCAGGGTTCAGGTTTTGCGCTTTGTCGCACTCAGCCTTGTGCGTGGCGCCTTCCAAGGTATCTCGTGTATAGGCTGACACATGTGAGATGATTGCAGCGACAACCCCGCGCCAACCCCTCAAACAAACCCTGGAAAATCAACGCCGAAAGATCAGTAACGCTCCGTTAGACCAATCGACGAGGCACTTGTGCCCAGTGATTGACAATACAGCCCACCCTTTCGAGTCCCGTCGGATTGTACACAACCCTGTCATCTTGTTGGATAATCTCGAATTACCAATCATGGCCCCCAATGTCGTGACCACTTCCGGTCAATACCTTTAGGGGGCCTCGCGGTTGCCGACGGAAGGTGTCGCATCATGTAGGCAGGCGCGTGGCTGGCGTTCGCCAAAGATACACAAAAGGGCCATCGCTACGATCTTGTCCGCACTACGTGAGAGCCCGATCGCAACTCTTTCCTTCCCATTCACGAAATGTCGCAGCAGCCTGTGGTGGACGACGCTACCGTTGGGGCAGACGAAGGCCTTGTATGACATGCTGCGCTCGTGCGTCTGCAGGTTCTAATGGATACCTAGGACACGGCGAAGACCCTGGAAACAACTCAGGTCCAGGACCAGTACATCAAGCTACTTCTGAAGAAGATAGCCTTGCTTGAAGAACGGCTTTCGATAACTAACGACGATGATCGTGCGTCACAGGTATGCCTTTAAACCCCATGCTTTTGAGTCTATTCGCTGACTGCGGCGCAGAAAAATGACGGCAAATCCGAGGCACCTGTTGAGAAGAACGATGCCGAGGAGGAAGAGGAACCCCGATACGTCATCATTGTGAACAAGTGGGATCCTGACACTGGCGACTACAAAGATGACGAGATCACGAAAAGTAACGAGAAGAAGGAGATTGGACCCAAACCTGAAAGTCGCAGAGCATTTACCTTTCGCAAGTCCACCATGTTTCGGCCTCGTTATAACATTGTCGAAACAGTCCTATCAGTGGCCCAGATCGAAGCCGAGCCATTGCAGAGGCTGATTGGCAAAATAACGTCAAAGCTCGGAGGAGACGAATTAGTCAAAAGCATCAGCTCTCCTTTTGAAAATCTGGTCTGGACGTGGGCAGAAGCCGAAGATGAAGCGAAGAAGTTTGTGGAGAGCGAGACGCCCGAGGAAAAGCAAGCCCGTATCGACCTGAGCGAGCTTATGCGGATCATCTCCACATCTTCAGGTATCCTACCTCTCGACCAGTACTTCAAAGAAAGAAACTTCTTCGATAATGAGAGGAGCATCTCGCACGCAGCTCTGTGGACGCTATTCCCTCCAGGTACCCTGATCGTCTCACACCCCTGCCTGGGTGAGCCTCAGATCTTTACCGTCGATTCGTGCGATTCTTTCATTCTACGAGAAGATCACACCTTCGATCTGACATGCTTCAGCTTCGACTGGACTGGCACAGAGTTTACCAGGGTACCGTTCGAGATGAAGATTCGCCACTAGGGTTCCAATCGGAAGAGCATCGCTGAGTTACCGTTCTATCCGCTCAAATATTACACTAGCCCAGATGAACAAGACATTTCATCGGATGACGCAATCGCTCGCCTCAAGGAACGACTTGTCGCTCGGGGGGAGAGGTTTGTCAAGCTCTGTGATCCGGGCAAAGGCAAACAAATGTTTACGTACTCCGGTGATGCGCACTTTCACACAGGACGTAGCTTTGTTGGGAACGATGATGAGGGCAGGCGCCTTCGACACGATGATGATACTACATCTTCTACCGACACCGGCGATGGACGGGTCAGCGAGGCTCGATACGTGCAAAAGAAGAAGGTAAGTCATTGCGTGTTTCTAACTTGGTTGGGTTGCATTTTTGATTAACTTGGTTCTAGATTGAGGGCACCACGATGGTCGATTTCACCTCTTTCTTCGAATATACAGCTCCAAACACTCCAGTTCTTGGAGATCTTTCCCAGTTCCGTGGCCAACTGGAGAACCTATCACCCGAAAAACGCGCCAACGAGATATACAGAGACATGTACAAGACTCACTGGGATCGACACCCCTCTGGAAAACCCATGTCGCCAGACCAACTCATGCATTGTCCTCCAAGAGTCCTCGGATACGCGCTGAAGCAGAAGAAGTGGGCGCAGCTCCTGGTAGAAAAACTCAACCCTCCCAACGACGCCGATGCAAGTGTCTTCTGCGACAAGTTGCAGCTCGACCCGGACTCTAAAGACTTGGTTAGATGGTCCGTGCAAGCACATGAATACGGGAAGGACGTCGACGCCAAGGGCGAATCCAAGAGCTTGCAAGACTTTGCTCCGAACAAGGGTAAGGGTCTCGTCATCATGCTCTACGGTAGGAGAAACCATTCGCGCGATAGTATTCCACGGCCACTAATCAAATATAGGCCATCCCGGCGTCGGAAAAACTTTAACCGCAGAGAGTGTAGCTCTCATGGCCGGCAAGCCTCTGCTTTCCGTTGGAGTATCTGACATCGGGATTGAAGGCGACAAAGTCGAAGCAAATCTGCAAAGAATATTCGACCTTGCAGGGAAATGGGAGGCCGTACTCCTCTTCGATGAAGCGGATGTTTTCCTCGAAGCGCGCGGTCGCGGCGAAAACGATCTGAGGCGTAATGCCATGGTCTCGGTACTCTTGCGCGTGCTAGAGTATTATGACGGCATACTGATCCTCACCACCAACCGCATGAGATCTTTTGACATCGCTGTCCAGAGTCGCATTCGTAAGTCTTTTGACCAGCACCTGCTGATTCAACGTTTTTCCTCTTGCTGATACACTTGCCCTAGACATTGCGATCAAATACGAAGAACTCATGCAAACGCAACAAATCGCCATTTTTGAATCCTTCCTCGTGCAACTCCAAGGTAAGAAACTCGTTCATAATTTCGATGACCTTATGCGATGGGTCGAGAAAGACAGTCGCAAACTCGGATTCAATGGCCGACAGATCAGAAATGTGGTGTCGACAGCTATGGGGATTGCTTTGGTGGATAAGGAGAATGGTGGGAAGCTGAAGAGGGAACATCTCATGCGCGTTGCCGAGCAGACGAAGCAGTTCAAGACTGATTTGATCGCTGAGGAGGAGATGTATAAGAGGTTGCAGAAGGGTATTTCTTGAGGGAATGTTGCAGTGAAGGTTTTAGTGCCTGCTAGTTGCCCTCCTCCCTGGGCCGTACTTAAATGCGTGTTCAGTGATGGTAAGCTCGATGAACTTCCAGAACGATCAGTTCAGCTCAAGTTAGTCATCTGTAACAATGCTGAACCATTCATCCCTCCATGTATCAAGACTATCGCCACTATAATGGTAAGCCCGTTGAGCCACAGTCTTAGTACATCCACCAGTCGGTTCGAAAAACACGATGACAGTCGGCGAGGCGTGATGTATCCACGGGCTAAGCCGCTGCTTCTCAGTGCTTAGTAATGCCCAGTGTGTATTTTGAATCTTCTGGCGAATGATCTCAGCCTGTCTTTGCCATGTAGAGAGAAGCTTGTCAGCATGCCGCTGAAGTGTGCCTAGGAAATGTCCCACACGGATACCATCTTCCTGGGTTACTCTAAAAAATGAACGCAAACGATTGTTATGCAAATGAGGCATGTATACGCCAAGTGTCTTGCAGGCAGGCTCCGTCAGGAACATGTCAGCTATGAGTTCTGCGAAGCGGCCGCCTGGTAGCGATCCTCGAAGTAGGCAAGGCTGGTTAGTACCTGCCTCCAAGGCGATTTTACATCGTCCGAGCTTTAGCTCCATGCGGTTACCAAACAGTTCCATGATGTGAGGATTCATCTTGAACTGGCTGAGGTCTAGCCATAGCGGAACTTTGGCCACAGGCGTAGACGCTCCCATCCAACCAAACCGTTGGTAAGATCTTCGGATGGTCAGGTAAGCGTCTTCGGATAGCGAGTTGGCTTGAGTAATTCTGGCTGGGTAGCAGACTAGCGCATGCTCGTGTTGAGCTCTTTGCGAATCATCCGTGGTCTGATTCTCGACAATAGCAATCTCATCTTCCGACGGTTGCATCCACGACGGACATATGGCCATATCGATAGGTTCGCCATGTTCAACTGGAGGACATGGAAAGTGAGAGCGGTACTGAGTCGAAAGGATATGTTCGATTGTACACCGCCAAAGACGATTGACGTCCCATGCGGTATGTTGAACCTGAGCCGTCGCTTGCCGGAGAATAAGTTCCAAGAGCTCGGGTATGAGGAGGAGGCGGTGGGTAGGAGTGAGTGGACTTATTGGTGCTGAAGCTTCAAGGTCCTTTGTTACCGTAGGCTTTGTCGCTATAGCTTTCGTTGCTACTGTGTGCTGCGGGACAGAACGAGATGTAAAGACAGCTATGCGCGCGTCGACAGCCCGAAGCGTCTGGCTCCGCCATTGCTCCACACTGGCTTCAAGATGTTCCTCCGGGCGCTGAGGGGGCAGTGGCCATGGGATGCGAGGAGGTTCTCGGCCCATACGTTCCTCATCAAGCGCACCGACGTACAAAGCTGCATACTGGACCGAGTCGTAGTCTATGGAGGAAAGGTCTTCATCCGGGAAGTACTTCGCAATCAACAGGTCGTGGGGATGGTAAGACATGGCGAGATGAGTATGAGTGGTAGGAGCACGTAATGTCCCGAGTCAAATTCCGTACAGATGGATTGCTATCGCATCGCCCCTGCAGTTCTGGGTGCAGGCTACAGCAGCTTCGACGGTTCTGCGAAGTGTCCGACGCGACGCGCTAAGTGGGGCTGGAGCTGGGGCTGGAGCTGGGGCTGGGGCTATCGATTACGAGCAGTCGGCGGTACTTGCCAATGACGCAGCCTCGGCGCTTCACGGTTGTCTACGTTGCATTCCGAGTGATTGCGCTCCAACGCTTACGCCGCACAGCAGCTAACACACATACATTAAAACCTGCTCTCACCTCTAGTCATACTCACAACCTCTCATTTCAACAGTCTCGCTAGCTCATATCCACCGCGACCATGTCCACCCGCGGGCAGTTCAACACAAAGAACCCGACTATCAAGCGCATATGTACGCGAGCATTGGGCTGTGACTAGTGACAAGTAGCTGACATGTGTCGCAGTAAAGGAAGCGTCGGAACTGTCGGTATCGCCCTCCTCGGACTACCACGCCGAACCTCTAGAAACCAACCTCTTCGAATGGCACTTCACAATCCGCGGCCCGCCCGAGCCATCACCCTACGCCGGCGGCATCTACCACGGTCGCATAGTCCTCCCATCGACGTATCCTCTCCGCCCGCCATCTTTCCGCTTCCTCACACCCACTGGCCGCTTCGAAGTCAACCGCGAGATCTGCCTAAGCATATCGGGCCATCATGAAGAAACATGGCAACCGGCTTGGGGCGTGCGCACAGCCCTCGTCGCGATACGGAGCTTCATGGACACGGATGCGAAGGGCCAGCTCGGCGGCATCGAATGCAGCAGGGAGGCACGCGAGCGCATGGCAAAGGACAGCGGCGCGTGGAAATGTGCCGGCTGTGCCAAGAGCAATGCTGACATCATGCAAGAGCGTGAGGAGCTCGTCAAGGAGGTTGAGGAGAAAGAAGGCAAGAGGAAAGACGATCAAGTCCCCGAAGAGCTGAGACTTGCCTATCGCGACGAGCTGGGTAAGGAAGGCCAGGACGACAAGCCGGTGGACAAGGGCAAGCAAAGGGCAGTAGAGAGTCCTGCTGAAGTCGCGTCGCCTGCCGCGCCATCAGTACCTACTGCTACAGTACCAGTCACAACCCAAACGCGACCCACTCCTGCTGTATCTACGGCTAGACCTACAAGAACGAGACCCGCACCTCCGCTCCAACAGGTCGCCCAACATAGTCCGGACCTGGCTTGGATCGATACTTGCATTTACGGAGTAGTGGCCGCGTTATTGTTCATGGTGCTCAAGAGATTCGTGTGAGTAAGCCATTCCAGGTTTACAGTTTTGCTTGAAGAGTCATGGTAAGATCGGCGCAGTGAAATTAGCACGGGTGTATTGGCGTTGAATGTCTGTTCATGTTCGTGGGGTATCACTTTCTGTTCCGCTTAAATTATCTGGTGGTTACTCGCGTGCCATGCTGTTCGAAAGACCTGGATGAAATGGCATGTTCCTTATCCATCTCTCAACCGATTTGAAGGGAGCTGGGGCGCTGGCGGTGCGTGTTAAATGGGATCATCATCGTAAGAGTCGTACATGGGCCATGTCTAGTGTTCGCTTCAAGTTCGACAGGTAGTACGAAAGGCTGGTTGTGTCTGAGACACATGAATCTCGACAGTAGGATACTCGTGAAATACTGCTGGTCGCACCTAAAGCACATGTTCGATTCGAAACCCTATGTTGTCACGGCACGTTTCACACGCCTTGCTATCATGTGTGACTAACTGAGGCGGGAGTTATCTAGCATTTGTCGTAGGATGGCGCAATTGCACAGGAACATCTACTCAAGCGAGCCTCTTGAGGTCGCGAGTACGATGAGATTGGGGTACGCTATCGTGATTAACTTCCGAGGTTAGCCTGCCATTAGCGTCTTGGCATCATCTGCACCTCGAGGTCCCTTGCCCTACAGAGTCCCATCCGCGACGCGACCATCCAAATGCGCTCCACCCCGCTGATTTCGCGAAATCCTCTTGTACATGCGTTATAGAAACTCGTCACAATCCGTGCACGACAGAAATGGCGCGACTATCGCCGCGCGTACGCGACTGAGCAGCCCGAACATGTCCCTGATCCTGCACGAAGCCAGCAATCGTCTTTGCAGAAGGACCAACCAATATGTCGAAATCCGCCTCAACCCCCCACTCGGCCCGAGTGCAGAAGGTGTGCACTCTCTGGACTCATGACGACAACTTTTCTAGAGACGAGATCATCTTTAATGGAGAGAAGTTCCCTGAGTTACCCACCAGTGCTGGTGCCCTCCTCCAGATTGTGGCGATACATGCAGACCACACTGTACGAGACTTTCACACAGGATCCAAGAGTCAGTCGCAAGATGCGACACACTTCCAAGCCGATGCGCTGCACAAGGATTCCAATATAGATAACCATCCGAAAAGAAATCGTCGGGATTCGATAACCATTACGATTGATGAGAATGGCTCGACCATTCCCGGTGGTCGCGAAATCGATGCGGAAAAAGCCTATGTTTTTGTCCCCAAACCGCTTCCTGCAGACTTGAAGACAAAGTATCTGAACCTACAAGTAAGATTCTCACGAATTAATCTTTTGCTCAACTAATAGCAACAAGGTTTCTATATCGGAGAGAATCGCGAAGGTATTCGGGTTCCGCAATAGGATGCAAGTTGTAGTGACGGAGGCTGATGAAGATGCTCACGAAGCTCATCACGTGGAGATAGTGTTCCGTGACGAATACCTAGCACGCGCGGATATGTGGCGCATGGCCATTGCCGAGCTCAGCAAGCGTACCGTCTACCGTGGCCAACGACTACTATTCATGGGTACCATCAAGGCCACGATCAAACACATATATATCAATGGCCAATCTGTCCATTCCGGGTACTTCTCGCCAAAATCGAAGCCCATCTTTCGCAGCGAATCTGCACGATACACATTGTTCATCCAAATGTCTAGAGAGATGTGGGATTTCGATACCGAAGGCGCTGGCGAAATAATGTTCAATAAGGTTGTCAGTGGCTTCCTTCCAGACCTCTTCAAAAGGTGGTTGAGGATCAATGCACGGCACTTGGTCACCATCATACTGTTTACGAGGATGCAATATGACGGAGAGCTTTTGGCAGATCAACCCGAGGGGACGACGAGCAACATGTCCTCGGAGTCGCATTCCGGAAATTTCAGAGATTACTACAGAGTGGTCGTGAGCGACATGGCCAGCGGTGATTGGATCAACATCCTGTATCAGCTCAAAAAAGAGTTCAGGATGTTTCTCCGAGAAGTATCTCTGGTCCGTAAGCCAGTGAAGCCTGTTTCTGAGATTGACGAGTCAAGCTCTGAAGACACAGCTACTGATATTGTCATAGCTGGTCGACCCTCTTCCGCAAGCCAAGGTAATATCCTGGAAGCCATCAATCTGGCTGCAGCCCAATTCGCGAAGGATTACATCGATCGAGACCTTGTTCGAACGGGTATCTCAGTCATAGTTGTTACTCCAGGTACTGGCGTCTTTGAAGTCGACTACAACATGCTCAAACTTACTACGGATACTCTTATTGGATCAGGTATCGGTATTGACCTCGTGTGTCTCTCGCCGATGCCTCTCCATTCCGTACCCTTGTTCAAGTACCAAACGCCTCGCTCAGTGTCCGATATGAAGGCTGAGCACGACAAAGAGCGCCACGGGGGCGCGAGCATGTCGCGCACAGAAGAAGATCAAACTCCACGCCAAAGCCAACCGGAATTCGGCTCTATGTCACGTGCATCCACTGTCCGACGCATACCAACAGACAACTCCCTTGACTCGTCAGACGGATGGAGGTTCGCAATGCCGTATTGGGTGGACGTCTCCTTCTGGTCCGGAACATCCGAAGAGATATTGGAACTCACAAAGCCACGAAAGGCTGACAAGATCGTGAAAAAGTCGCGCAAGAAGGGTCGTATCTTTTCTCTACGTTGTCGTTTGTATGAACTGCAAATGATGGGCGTTATGGAGAATGAGCTGGGCGACATTGCGATTCCCTACCTAGAAGAAGATCCAATGTACCCGCATCATCTGCGCGAATTGTTTGAGACCAACGAAGAGGGCGTGCGAACCGCGCAAGCAGTCAAGCCTTCCGCAGCTGCAGCAGGCTCATATTCATCGCGGGGTGACAAAGAATACACCGACGACCAGCTGGACGAGACAAGAGCTGCCCAGAAGGCTTGGATGGAGGCATACGATGGCGGGGTCTTTTCCCCTCTCATGGAAAGACACTCTACGTTGAACCAGCTCCAGATTCAGAAGCGAAGGCTAAGCGACGCCATCACAAGCGGATCCCCAGAGCTGTCGCGAAGTCTGCGTCTGTCTTCCTCTTTCCGCAGCACTGCCCCGTCACTTGGACAGTCAGCTCGGCCTCCGCCAGAAACAAGTTTTTCGCAACTCATGCATGAAAGATCTAAAGATCTTGAAAGCCAATCTCCTCGAGGAAGTACATACCGGATGCCTGATCCCAAGGGCGACGGATTGCCACGAGCCGATATATTGCGGCGGCAGAACAACATGACCAAGGGCATCGTTGGAACTGATCGCCCAGCGGCACATAAGAGAAGTGGCTCCGGAGATTCCCAAGATCATCGTAGAGCTATGCATGTGAAGCCAAACAATTCCCCAGCATCGAGTCGAAGGTCATCTCCTCCAAGGCGAGCCGGACTCTTGTCTGTGACTAGTGCTGGGACCGCCGCAACAACCCAGCCGGAACTGAAAAGTAGACCTTCAAATTGGTTCTTGAGGCAGATGAGCTTCGGTGGAAAAGCTGCGCCAGCTAAACCGACTCTTGGAGACGCCACCATCGATATCAGTCAGGGTAAAGTGAAGCCTGCAATGCTGACTGTTGAAAAGAATCAAAAGGGTGCTATCGCTGAAAGACTGGCGAGCACTCGCAACACTTCTACCGGTAAGCCATCACAGCCGATTGCAATTAAACCTGCATCACGAGCAGGTCCCATATCGGCTGAGTCATTGGCCTCCAACCGCGCAAGCCGTTCGATCGAGACGGTTAGGGGTGCGCAATCCGACCGATCCAATGTCCCTTCGCAACCTGGTTCAGTTGTGAGAGATCCTGGATCTACATTTTTACTTGCAGGAGCGAGAGGGGCAGGCGAGCACGTTGGACTAAAGCCGGACTTGTCTTCTAGTGCAGGCGCTAGAGATGCTCCACGTACTCTGTCGCCAACAAGTGCGATCGCTCCTTGGGCAGTCCTGGTCAATCCTTGCAACCCGAAGAAAAACGTCATAAGCTCCAAAAACCAATATCGGCGTTGGCACCACGTCTTCCCTAGGACCTTGAGGGCAGGTACTGTAAAGTGGAGATCTTTGTGTTCACCTGCTGCCGTACCTTTAACGCATGAGTGGTTTCCGTCTGTTGAACAGATAGCAACGCAATACAACGAAAGCCCATACAAGATTACGCAAAACGAGGATGACGACATTCTGGAAGCACCAAAGAGCCGAGAGTCTCTCATCAAAGAGTTGATTGCCTTTCGCCTCTCGCACGGATTTCAGATCATTGTCGGCTCTTCCGTAGCTGAATTTTCTGGGCGTCAAGAAAAGTCTCTCGCTAGCATCCTCGATCCTGAATACATGTCTAGTGATGGAGACACTGTTTTCATGAGCGTCGGAAACAATATCCACCAGCTGGTATGTGTAGCCGGAGGAGAGGTGGAGGTAAGAAGATACAACAGGAAACCTACCACGGCCTTGGAGTCATCTGCTGGTATTGATACGCCCTTTCCATATAAGCCTTTCATCCGCACTGCATTTGAGGATACCTATGATCCTAGAGAAATTGTGCTGCGACCACCACGGCGGGAATACAATTGGAACATCATTGATACCTTCTTGGCCGGCTATCACGATGAGTTTTCCGAAGTCCTGCGCTTTTGGCGAGCTCGATTCGTGCTCATACCAGTCGACATACCAGCTATGCATCGCAGGCCGTTGCCTGTGCAAGACTCACCCGAAGAGATACGTCTCGAGGGCATTCGTAAACTTACCCAGCTATGGCAGAAGTTTCGCTATATTCCCCCGGAAGAGCGCTACTTCCAGCCAGCATCCGTCTTGAAGCAAAAGGACCCAAATCCGCTTGCGATTGAGTATCACACACGCGATCCTTCGGCGGTTGTCGCGGCTGGTCCAGACCACTCTTTACTGGATGATACCGACAGCGAATTCCAGACTTCCATCTTCTCAGATGCGGAAAAGTATCACACATCCAGTATAGATCTCAAGAAACTTGCGGAAGACCTCCAGGGCGAAAAAGGAATTCAAATGCTTGATCGTCGGTGGCATCTGAAGCTGCACTACAATTGTTTCTTGGGTTTTGATCTTACCAACTGGCTACTTTCTAACTTCAAGGATATCGAAACCCGAGACGAGGCGGTGGAATTTGGTAACGAGCTGATGAAGAAGGGTCTCTTCCAGCACGTACAAGGGCGGCATCAATTCCGAGATGGCAACTTCTTCTTCCAGATTGCAGCAGAGTACAGGGCGCCGCGAGCCGAATCTCGAACAGGGTGGTTTGGCATGAGGAAGGTAGACAAGTCTGTTCCTTCCACGCCACTTGCGGAGGCGCCTCGGACGTCGCCACTGATATCGAAAAACATCAAGTCCCGTCCCGGTACCGCGGATTCTTCGTCCAATAGCTCAGGTTCACTCAAAGAGGGGGAAAAGACCCCAACGCGCGGTGAACCACACAAGCGAAAAGTCATCATGTCACGCGTCATGCGCTATGATGTCGATCCCAGAAAGCGTTCGTATCGGCCTGAAATCATTTCACTACACTACGACCGATTGCACAATCCCGACAATTGTTATCATATCCGCATTGACTGGATGAACGTTACGGCGAAACTCATTGAGGATGCTATCGTCACCTGGGCTACGAGTGTGGAGAAGTACGGCCTGAAGCTGGTAGAGGTACCCATCGCTGAGGTAGCGGATATTATCGACCATCATCCTTTCCGTTCGCCCTATGCAGTCAAACTTGCATTACAGCCTCCCCAAGTTCAGCCTGAGGCCGTATGGGACTCAACGAGCTTTTCCCCTCAGTACCCCAAAGTTGATAAGTTTGCTTACCATAAGCTTCTGCTGCGGAGGCTAAACTTTGTTCTGGATATGGAAGCTGCGAATGCGTTTCCGCCCGACGTTGAGGTCACTTACTCTTGGGGCACACCCGACTACAAGTACACGCAGTTCATACACAAGAGCGGAGGCTTGCTCGCTCAGATCACTGACGATGGGAACTTCCTTCTGCTGGCCAACAGGCTTGCGCATAACCGTGCCAAAGACAATGGCAGGATACGGCCTGTAGATCCTTATGAACACAAGAAAGCCACAACAGATGGAAGTCAAAGCAGCCGTCTACCCTCGACACCTGCAGTAGAGCGTGGTAACCCGCATCGTAGTCCGTTTGCCAGTCCTTTGGCACGACCAGTTCAAGACGCCAGTCTCCTCCACACCGCGCTCACATTCCACGATCCGAAATCATCAGCAGCAACTACTCCAGCGTCTGCATCTAACATATCGCTTTCTCCGGAGCAAGTCAAAGATGAAGTAGAAGCCTTTTGCTCGAACGCCTCACTCCTCTCCAGCTTTTACGCTGACGCTTTCCGCCACGCGCCATCTCCTTCTCCACGAATCTTGCCTGTAGGAGAAGACAAGATACCAAGCTTGGGGCTGCCACCAGCAATTAGTATTAGGGATGCCAGTCCGGCGGCAGGAGGTTGGACTCTGAGTAGTACGTTTGGGGGACCTAGTGGCATAGCTGGTCGCAGACAGGGTAGCGAGGGAAGCATGTATAATATGGGGAAGAGAGGTAGTGTAGTCGATGGCATGGATAGAGCACCCAGGCGACAAGATAGCCAGGGAAGTGCTGGAGCTGGAGTATGAGCGATGCAAGAGATCCACTGTACATGCATGTGGTAGTGCTTTGATCCTTAGACCTTGTGCTATTTCCTTGCGCGCGCTGGTGTAGTAGATAATTAAAGTGAGAACAGTTCGACACGGGCTGAGAACAGTCTCACAATGGATAGGTCTGGAGACCAGCCGAGATAATTTACTGTCCACGATGTGCGAATAGAAAGATGACTATGGACAACGCAGGATGGAGTAAATCGATATTGGTCCATGTACCATAGGAAGCAATCTTTAGGTGATCGGAAAGTAGATCTACCGGTGAATGCCATCGATCTCAACGAACTTTGAGTGCTATATCAGTATATTGCAGACGTGAATAAGAGAAAGTCAATCGCCACATGACTGCGTTCACCTGAGACCTCCATTGCGGCGTCAGGTCTTGGGTAGCGACTCTCCTCATAACTTGTTGACCCTCTCCCTCATCTCATCCAAATCCTCGCCTTCAATGGCATCCTGTTCTTCCTTGACGTAGCTCTTCACCGCTTCTACAATCTCCTCATCACCGTCGATAACATCGACCCAACCCCTCACGCCATCCATTTCCAAAACACCAACAACGCTCTCTGCAACCGTCGCACGGCTCGTCTTGCCACCAGCCCCAATCTTACCCATCTTCACCTTTCCAGCCGGCTCCTCAGTCAGCGTGCCAGGCCTCAGGCTGATACCACAGAAGCGCTGATCAGCGGGTACACCATCTTTCTCTTCCTGAGCCATTCGATCTTGGGAAAGTATCGTGAGGACCTCGTCAGCTGCAACCTTGGCTTTAAAGTAGTTTGGCAAGATTTCCGTGTTTACTTTCTGTGCCGCTTTCCAGTCTTCATCGTTCCACCAAGGCGCGCGGCCACGGCGGGAAGAAAGGTAAGATACTGTCAGGAATTTCTTGATGGAGGGTGTGTGAATGCTGGCTTTTGTGAACGCTATGGCTGCGTCGCGGTCGACTGCAAATGTCATCTCGGCGCCGCCCTTGCCGCCGGCTCCTATACGTTGTGAGCATACGCGGGCGATTCATGATACACCAGCCTTAGAAAGCACTTACCAGCGCTCCAGACAACCCAATCCGGGTTGACCCGTTCCAAGATGCGCTTCGCATCGGCCTCGCTCTTCACATCCGCAACACTATGGACCAGTACATCTAATTTCCCGGGCTGACCCTGTCCCAGCTTTTCAACGGCCGGTTGCTGAGAGGCAGTGCGTATCATGCTGGTCACGTTCCATGATTTGGCCAGCAGGAGCGGTGTAAGAATTTGGGCAACTTTGCCGTGACCGCCGATGAGGAGGACGTGGTGGGCCATGTTTACTGCAAGATCAAAAGGCAATTGGAAGAAGGGGTATACTGAAGTGCAGTAAATGATATAGAATGTCTACCTGAAATAAGAGTTGATGTTGGGAGCAGCCAAGAACTGATCAAGCGTCATTTTGTCAGCACTCACGATTTCTAAGATGACGTCGTGGGCAACATGTTTCCGAACATGTGCCGAGCAAGCTCCACCTGCATTGCGCCATCCTACCTCTTGCGCACGCATTCGTGTTCGTGCTCGCAACGGAGCAATTCCAGTGTTCAATCACAGTTATAGAGGAACATTAAGTTTTCTGACTTTTCCATTTCATTGATTGGTATCGCTGCCTGATGTTCAAAGCTACCCCGGAACTGCCACGCTCGTAGAAGTGAAGAAGACACAAAATCGTTGCGAAGAACTTATTCTCGACACTCGAAACAGGAATAAGAAAGATACGTTTCAGTAATACAGTGAGCGAGACAGTGCCCGCGGAGCGCTAGGAGGAAGAAACAGCGAGAGAGCAAGGGGTATGTACAGTATGGCTCATACTCGGGTGAAAGACTCCTGAACACCGTGAAGCATGCATTACAATGTAAAGTTGGGGACAAAAGGAAATTAGAGGGCACAATGTGTACGAATTATAGGGTAAAGGGAAAGAAGACCTCATGTGCCGGGTCCAGTCGACTTGCCCTGGTCGCCGGAATGGCCGGAAAACGGTCCTACAACAAATTCAGGTGTTGTGTCCATGTTCTGGCTGGGAGGACCACGGTACTCGCTGGCATCGGGCGCCAGGATAGGATCAGTCGACTTGGTGTCAGGATGCACTTCGATACCATCCTGAGCCTCGAGGTCTTGCTTCGTCGCATCGCGGCTGAACTTGATCGAGTCGTTGTCACCATGACCGCGGTCAATTGGCGACCAACCAGCGACACTACCTGCGACAATACCGGCCATAACAGTAGCTGGGCCGAAAGCGGAATTGGAGCGGGACCTGGTGCGACGGCGGCTGTTGGGAGTAGGAGGAGAACCATCATCTTGAGGACCGTTGTTCGGGGTGCCAGGGAGCGAATGGCTAGAGCGGGACTTTGTGAACATCTCCTTGGGATGTTGCACCTTGAACTTCATGGCGCTAAGACGCCCACCTCGGACTTTGCGGAGGAAAGCAAGCTCGTCACGGATCTCCAGTAAGCCCTGGTTCCAATGGTAATCATCGTCTGAGACGACAAGTTCGGGAGTTTGTTTGCGCCTGAAGAAGTCCGGGATACACTTGCGGATAAGTGCGTCGGGTATTAATCGAACGATGACACCTACGGGTAGTGAAAGGAAACCCAAGACTATTGAGTAACCCCACTGAGCACCGTTGAGCCTGGTAACCTTGAAGGCGACGCCACCAACGAAGATGATCATAGTCTGACCACCGATCATGATTGCCAGGATGACGATGAAGAACCAGTTGTGGGTGATACCTTCGAAAACGTTGAAGCGGTTGTCAAGTCGGCGGTTGTTCAACGCGTTGAAGATCTGCATCCAGACGAAGGTGTTGAAGACCAGTGCGGGCAGTTGTTTCTTTTCGTCGTCGCTTTCGTAACTAAGGATAGATTCGCCGGCGAAGTAGAGGATGAACGTGACGACCAACTGGTAGATTGCTTGACCGATGATCATCTTCCACATCCTCAACGTAATCAAAGGAGCAGACTTCGGATCGGGTTTTCGGTCGAGAAGGCTGCGTGTAGGAGGATCAGTTGCGAGGGCTAGGGCGGCGAAGGTGTCCATGATGAGGTTGACCCAGAGCAGTTGAACAGCAGTCAGTACAGAGGTTTGGTCGTTGCTAGATACGGCTGAGACGAAGGTAAGCAGGACGGCGGTGATGTTGACGGTGATCTGGAATTGCAAGAACTTCTTGACCGCATCATTGACCGCACGTCCCCATAGCAGTGCCTTGACGATGGAAGCGAAGTTGTCGTCCATGAGAATGATGGCGGATGCCTCCTTTGCGACTTCGGTACCAGCGATACCCATGGAGAAACCGACGTCTGCAGTCTTGAGAGCCGGCGCGTCGTTGGTTCCGTCACCAGTAACAGCAACAGTTTCACCAAGCTCTTTGAGGCGTTTGACGAGTCTACGCTTATCCTCCGGACTAGAACGAGCGAGGACACACAGCTTGGGAATGACGGCGTCCATGTCTCGCTTGGATAGCTTGCGGAAGGTAGGACCTTCCATGACGACTCCACCAGGAACGAGGATACCGCAGTCTTCGGCGATGGCCTTAGCGGTCAGAACGTTGTCACCAGTGACCATGCGTACGTAGACGCCTGCGTGCTGACAGTCTTTGACAGCTTCGCGGACGCTCTCTCGCAGAGGATCTTGGATACCAACAACGGCCAGGAAAGTCATCTTGTTGGAAACGTCTTTGAACACAGCTTGGCTTGGGTCATCCTCGTTCTTAGAGGACTCAGCGGGCGGCCAGCTCTCGAAGTCGCGATAGATGAGACCGATGGTTCGAAGAGACCGAGAGGCGTAGGTAGTGATGACTTGTTCAAGAGTCTCGCGGTTGTCGCTAGTCATAGATGTCTCAACAAGTTCTTTGTTGGCGTCGGTGACTATCTTGTCGCACATGCCGAGCAGAATCTCGGAAGCACCCTTGACGTACATTCGGTAGCGACCGTCGTTAAGCTTCTGAACAGCTCCAGAGCACTTGATAGCTGAATCGAAAGGTATGACCTGAACAATGTTGGCGTTGGAGCGCTCCTGAGCGACGTTGCCCATGCCAAGAAAATCGCGTGCGAATCCAAGTAGAGCGGTTTCCGTCTTGGAGCCAATGAAAGGATCAGGGCCACCAGCCGCGCCCTCGAAGGCAGTCGTGTTCTGAATGATGGACTGTAATAGAACATCCTTGACATCTGCGTTCAGGGTCGCAACAAATTCGGGAGCCGAGACATCGTTCGGATTTTCTACGGGGGACTCCACCACATCCTTGCCCTTGCTGCCGTCATCAACGGGTTCCGCTGATGGTGCCTTGAGTTTGTGGTCGCCAAACCGAAGAGCAGTGCCCAGCGAACCAGCGACGACCGTCATCTTGTTTTGTGTCAATGTGCCTGTTTTGTCGGAGCAGATGGTTGTCGCGTTGCCCATGGTTTCGCAGGATCGGAGCAGGCGAACCAGGTTATTGTCTTTCAACATGCGGGTGGTGGCGAAGGCTAAGGCAAGGGTAACGGCTAGAGGCAGACCCTCCGGCACGGCGACTACGATGACAGTAATGGCGACGATGAGAATGTTGAGGAAGTTCTGACCCTTTTCGGCGGGAGTAGCACCGCTTCCCTTGAGGCCGACAAGGAACTCAATGAAGAGTACAACAAAGAGCAACAGGGCAGCCGCTCCACCAAGTTTGGCGATGTACGTTGCGAGAACGTTCAACTTATTCTGGAGTGGGGTGACTTCGCTGTCTTCGCGGAGGGACATCATGGTTTTTCCGTAGCTGGAATGAACACCAGTCGCAGTGACCATGAAAGAACCGACACCTTCCGAGACTTTGGCACCCGAAAGGATGAATGGGTCGACCTTCTTCAAGTTGTCGTGCCTTTCGATAGCCTTGAAGGCCTCGTCTCCAGACATCTTCTTGAGCAGATCAGACTCTCCAGTAGCCGAGGATTCGTCGCATTTGATGCCGTGACCTGTGATGAGAATACCATCCACAGGGATCATGTCACCGGGCTCCAGATTGACGACATCTCCAACGAAAATGTCGTATACGGAGATCTCGCGAGTTGCGCCTGAACGAATTACCTTGATGGTTCTGTCTTCCTTCTTGCGGTTGAGCTTGACGAATTGTCGTTCCTTTTGCCAGTCGTTTGCAGCGCCTACAACCACGACAATGACGATGGCAACAATGATGGCAACGCCTTCAATCCATTCGACTTTAGGCTCACCGGGCTCGTGCTTTACACCGAAGGTCTGGTATAATCCAAGAGCCAAGGAAATGACGGCAGCACAAGTCAACAAGATCAGAACCTTGTCGTTGTAGGCCATCCATGCTAACTGGAAGATGTTCTTTGGTTTCCGCACGGGAAGTCGGTTGTCGCTGAATACGCGCTTCCTGTCGGCAAAGGCGTTTTCCTTAGCGCCAGCGGGCGCGCTGTCCGTGTGGGCAACCCCGTTTGGCGCGGATTTCTGAGGAGATTCTGTTCTGCTAGGTGTTGTAGCCTCATCGAATGTAACGACGCCATCAAGATGCTGCTCATCCAAACTCAGACCAGCCTTTCGGTCGGTTCGAAGTCCTTTTTCTATGCCGTCTAGGCCACCGAGCGCGTGGAATGCTGATAACTGCGTAGTCATGTTAGACGGTGGTCGAATGCGCTCAAGACGCAGAAACTTACACTCTTGGGGTTGTAGAGCTTTCCTAGTTGTCCGGGGGAGAAGGCAAACTTGTTGTTCTCGACCTCAAAGTCAGCCTCTGTGCCCGGGTCCGGCTTCAAAGCATCTTTATCGTTTAAGATTTCCGTTGGGCCTAGGTCACCCTTCAAAGTATCGCCTTGTGAGGATGCAACATAGGTTCCAGTGCTATTAGATTCGCCGTTCTCAGTGGCCGAGTCGACCGAGTTGCCCCGGGATCGCGCACCGGGTACGTTGAGTAGACCGGCGTTACTGTTCCATCCTGTCACCGGCGAGCTGATGTTATGCGGGCTCGTTGGCCGGCTCTCTCTGCTATCGAACGAGTGCGCGTTACGCAGCTCCTGTGACGGCTGCCTTGAGTGCGTGGGCGAGACATCGTCGTTGTTTGAGGATGCTGCTGGCCTGCTATTATCTTGGATGTCTCCTAGGGGTACTGAATCGCCCATGGTAGGGTCGTTGGTAGCAGATGTGTCGATGGTGATGGTCGGTGCCCGTGGTCTTGAAGGACCGTTGTTGGTGTCGTTGTCCGCCATGGTGGGCGCCTAGGAGCCCTCGAGGCTGCGATGCGAGGCTGAGGGTGGTAGGCTGTGCAAACAGGCAGGCAGGCAGACGAGCGATGGATGTAAGCGTAGCAATGTCAGGCGTGCACTTCCGGTGAGGTGATTAAGTTATCGAGGAGTCCTCATGCACAAAGAAGATGCAGGTTATGAGTGTCGCGGCAGAGGCGAGAGGGCGGTGCTGCAGCCGTGTGCCGTCACCACGGTTGCGCGTAGTCGAGAGTGGAGGCAGGTGCCGGTGGGCGAGTGCCTGCGAAAGTGTCTGGTACTGCCAAACTGTTTAGCTCCTTTCCCTTGCGTTTACACGTACAAGCAGGTGCTCAGCCACGACTGCCCAAGCTGCGACCGCGTGTGATGGTAGCCGGCAAGAGCGATGGGCGTTAGCGAGGAAGCTTACCTGATTGTACTGCGTCTCCGGACAGGGCGATTGCGCGAGAGAGGGACACGGAGAAGCTGAAGGGGGATTCCTATCACGTCGAGGGTGGCAGTGTTCCGGCGCTGCGCATGCTCATTCGCCGTCGGGGTGGCTATGGCAGTGGGCGTGTCTGGTGTACCTGGGTACTCGTCGAGACTATGCGGTGGCGAGACGACGCGTCGGACTGGATTTTCGGTGCAAGAGAATGGGAGCCGCTATCTCGAATCGCCAGGCAGAGGGCATAAAGACAAACAAGAGCCTCCTCCCGCCTGGCCTGCATCCTTGTTGTGCCTTCAATTGTCCAAGACTTGCACTGCCCCGATGCCAACCCTACGCTCTAAGCCGCCTTGGGCTGCGCTATTTCGCAACCAGCGTGGATGCGGCACTTAAGCGGGACGGCCTCTAGCCTAACCCCTCGAACGAATGCAGCCTCCGTTTCACCCCAGGATTAACCCATTCACAACTGTCCAGGCCAAGTCGCCTCTGCATCTACGTGCGTCGCCACGGTTTGCTGGCTCTCGAACAACTTTTTGCCATGTGGTCCCTCACGCAGCAGCGAGCTGGACACGACGACTATCAACGTCGCACATGTCCCGAACGGGTTGCCTTCCGTATGGCCAGTAGATCAAGGCCAAGCAAGCCATGCCTACCGTACAGCGTCTGAGCGTCATATTTACAAGTGATTCGATTTGATGCAACTGCTGGCGAGCGATCGCGCATCCGCCTGTCTACTCCTATTCTCTTGGCCGTGCCATTGTCACTAAAGGCGCAACAATATCACAGCTTCGTTTTTCGAGTGGCGGCCCTTCAACGCTTTAATCATAGTCCGTTGGGTTTGCCGCGCGCTCGGCCTCGACTATTGCTGCTGGCGGATGCTCCATCTCCACTCGTCCTCGGCTTTGTTGGCTCACAGTCGTGTCGTCTCTGCCCTCACCGCCCGCGTACCTGAAATCCATGATATGTATGGCTAAAGGGATGCGTCAATTTCAGACCAGCCAAGCTTCTGGAGCATCTTGGCTGTTCCGTGCCCATCTCCCGCCCCGACCTTGTTCAAGTTTGTTTGCGTCATTGGCGCTGTGATTGCTCTTATCGTCAACTTGGATCGCCAGGCGCATTGTCCGACACAGTCCCGCATCTTCAACACTTTGTCACTAGGGACTCGGCCCATGTGCCCCATAGTGTTCGTTAAGTGGCAACTGCCCACAGTTGTTTTACTCCAGAGCCGGCAAGACTGGCGAGAGCTTGTGCCCAAACCAAGCTTCTGACTCGAAGCTACAGTAGTCAGAGGCTTGCTGCACACAAGATCTTGACATGCTTCAGGTGACCGCTTCTGCGACCTTGGCGGCTTACCCCAGGGCACACTGCACCTGCAGCTGTATGATGTCCTTGTACATATGAGATTTCGGCCCTGAACACGCTATCGACGCCTCATCTCCGCGAAAACATTGGCGAGCATCATCAAGGGCGCTCTTCGGTCCAACGAGAACGCCTCGACCTGCCCTTACCCACAGCTCCAGAAAAACCATCAACACATGGAATCCATAGTACAACAGATTACTGATGCTCCACTCGACCGCAAGGAGCTATTTCAAGATGCATCGTAAGGGTAACCTTCCTTGATCACCTGCAGTAGACGTTGAGCAAACAGTCGTCAGGCGTCTAGCAAGCGCCGCCGTTCAGGGAATGGACCAATCATGTAGCCCACAGCACCATCCGCTTTTTAAACTCCCTATGTGCTTCGTCGGGTTCACGATGCAAGTAGAGCTATTTCTGCATGCGCGTACGATGTATGACTTGGGTATGTCCCGTCGATCAACTCGCGGGTCATATGCGTCGATATACATGTACATGTAGCAAACAGACATCGCATATCCAGACGATTCAAAAGTGGACGTCAATAACTCTACGACATAGAACATCAACACCGACGCTATCAGCTAATCACAGCAGAAGCATGTTACACTCAACTACTATGCTCATAAGGTCACAATGCAACTATCATTTTTGATTATCCGCAAGCGGCACAGCAGTACTTGTATATTCGTCGTGAAGCCCTATACTAACCAAAAAGAACTACATGTCGCAAGAACATTCTATCTCAACAACTTCCGAGTTCTTAGGTAGATCTATAACATAGAAGCACACTCCGAGGGAAGTAAGTTGAAGGTAACAACATTCTGTTGTGCCATAACATCTATCCTCTCATCTAGATTCCCGAAGATGAAGTCCACGTATACTACATCTATTGTGCTAACCGGCGACCATGGCGTTCTATGTAATCATTTCAGATCATCTTATCACAGAGCCCGAAGAGGGTTTGTTGTATTTAAGTCGCAGAGTTAGAGTTGTTAATTCCAGGTTTAGTGAGCAAAATTCATTACGATTTCTGGCGAAGTGCCGTTGTCCTAAGGGACACGTAATTATGGCATTCATGCACAGTGCTTTCTCTTTCGCACACAAACACCCTTGAACCTCTATGAATCGGCCTGTATATGCTTTATGTGCAGAAGTCAAGACGACCGCAACATCATACGTGCACAGTAATATACTCCGTGACGGAATTTGAAAACGTCTCTTCCAGAAATCAACTACCATCCATGATATAGTCTGCATGCATTTATACCCAAAATCATGCAATTGTTATCGCCATTGCTATGTAAGCATTACCAACCTCACACCCAAGTCGCGCACAGTGTATTCTCGGATCATACCTTTTGTACATCCTTGTTGTACATTCTTATCTAGACATCGGAACGCTTTCGAAATTGACCAAAGACATGAAAAGTAGCTCCTGACCCAAGTACCTTGCAGATTTCCGTGCATAAGCTAGGAGTAAGTGAATCCGTCATCAACACGATTGCGATAATCGTCTTCTGACATGTAGTCTGCACAGCCTCACATCCAATACCGGCTCAAGACGGGTACATGCGGGTGGCCTCGAGCCGGTGTAATGCTGAAATGTTTTCGCGGTGGCGATCAAATTTTAAGTGCGACCATTTCGTTCCCGATGGTAAGATGTGGAGGCGATATGGGAGGCTGTGTCAGACGCGGGCGCAGTGCTAGCCGGTTTCGGGGCTGTGCCTAGGATCAATGGTTCGCGCAGGAACGGCGGGCTCTGGAACGTCTACCGCGGGACCATCAGTCTTGGATCTTTCTTGGGATCTCTTGAATGTCTTGTTCATGGTTTAGTGTCGTATGGAGATCTTTTGTAACGTGATATGCACGTACTCAAAGCATTTTGGGGAAGCATGTAGCATTGCCTACTACAACAAGAATGAGTTGGCAAAGTATCGGATTACTTGTCTTTGAAAATGTAGACCTAAAAATGGCGGGTAAAACACCAACTGCGTAACTCGTGACCCATTTCTATATGATTGAACAGCGCCAGGACGCCAAACTCCTTCCTTAACCGTACTGCACCAAAGGTATCTCGCGACGTACAGAAACACTCCTCCAGAGAATCGAAAGCCGTCCTCATTACAAAGCTGTTATTCATCTAGTTTCGTCATGCCTCTCCCTCTCTTCGGACTGTTTGCGCGGCTCTTTATTCTCTCCCGGCTGTACGTCCGGCTCAACTCAAAGGCACTCGGGGGCCCGAGCCCCAGGCCCGTCCCTTCTCTGACCACGTCTCCAGCGCTCGTGGCGCCAAAGTAGTTTGGTGCACCTGACGCAAGTTCAGTCTTGATCTGCGGCGTCGCCCAACCACTTGTCTTTCCAACCTTGGAACCCTCAGAGGAGTCTGAAAGCTCATTGTCCGAGGAGTCTAGATACGTCTCTTCGAGTTCAAATTCGTTCGCTGCCTCGCCATCTTCTAGGTCAACGCGTTCATAGGGCTGCTGGGTATTCGAGGAGGAGCCACCAAGGCCAAAGAGCTTTGCTGGGAAACTGCGCCCTCGGCGGCGGTGGAGAGGATCTTTGCCCTGTTTCCTCTTGAAGAGTTTGATGATGGACTGCTTGGCCGCGTTCCTTTTTTCTTTTCCAAGAATGAGGCAAAAGATGAAGATGACGATGAATATCATGATGAAGAAGCCGGGTATGCGCTGCGGGTTCTCGACAAAAAGCCGATGCCAGTCACTGTCGGATTCGTACAGTCTTGGTATGCCTCCGGGATATTGGAAATCTGCTGGTATACCGGGTACGTTCGAGCCAAAGCCTACTGCGAGGGCTTCTTCGGACGGTGGTGGAATCTCGCTGGAAGCGTACAAGACCATCTTTCCCAGTGTCCAGCTCAGCTCCACCTTGTTGATCTTGTTGACTGCTTGGAATGGGTCGAGAAATCCTTTGGCCTTTGCATTGTCGATGACGTCCTTGGTGGTGTTCGTGCTGCCGTTCAGATCTTCGATGCCAACTCGGGGGACGCCAATTCCATCGTGCAGCATGTTGATGACCCAGGACGCCTTGAAACACACGTCTCGTGCCTTGTCCTCATCTACTTTGTGACCCCATTTCTTCTTCTTGATCCCCTTTTCTATGCTCTTCCAGTCTTGACTACAGAACTCATCCACGCGCTCCTGATAGGTCTTGAGGTCGTATGCCTTGTGCTTGTGTCCATGTTCGAAGATCTCGTGCGTGGTATGCCAGTACTCGGACACACCTACGAAGTGGTTTACGTTGAAATCGATAGCGGGCACATGCTGTCCGTTGATCAGGCATGGCGAGTCTGTACACTCCTTCTCTTTTTCCAAAAGCGGAAACGTCCGATGCAAGCACTCTGAAAACTGTCCTGTGCCTACTAACTTCGCTGCGGCTTTTGGTTTTGGCTGGTCGTCATCGTCGTCGTCGTCGTCCGAGTCGATCGATTTGCCATCTTCTGTGACCTCCACCTTGAGATCTGCAGGTAGGCAAGGGTCAGGAAGCTCCTTCTCCGCGCTGGACTCTAGCAAGGCCTTGACGTAGCGCTCTCTTGCTTGGTTGACGCCAAATCCCAGCCATGTGGTCACAAACACCTTGTGTTCGAGCGGTGTACCGTCTATCGCACGCAGGCGCATCAGCGTCAAGTCGTTTGCATGCTTCTCCGCTTCGGTCGCATTTGGTGCAAAGGCGATCTGAGCCGACGCGCCTCCCATGTCCAGAAATCCATAGGTGTTGTGGCCCTTGCCGTGGTCGTGATCCTTGGGGCGATCGAAGCCGCCAAGCAGGTAGTTCGCTGCGATCCAGCCATAGAGGCCTTCTGTCTCTCCAGGTATGACCTGAACGTGTACGTCGCAATCCGGTAGTTGGAACTGGGTGGTGCTTCGCGCGAACTCGCAGACTTCCTTCAGTACCTCCTTCCGTTGGCGCTCGGGCAGTATGCGCATGCCCGCTGTTGCGAGCAGGAAGAGAGGTGTATTCGGGACTTCTTCGAGGGGTACGTATTTGAGCGCATGGCTGAGGAGCTTGTCGAGGTGTTCGGAGCCGACATCGTGAGGGTGTTCGCCGAAGGTTGAAATGCCTGTGCCGTCGCGTGTTAGTCCTGCTGGATGAGTATATTGTACCAGGGCCACATACCTGGGTGTATCTTCTTAGTCCAGTCCTCTTTTGTTTCTATGACCGGTAGGCTGTGTAGTTGCGCATCGCCAGCCTTCTTGCGGGCGGCGTCGTGGTTCAGCCATCGGTAGATGTGGACGCGCGTCCCCTAAACATGGTCAGCTACAACCTTGCGATAGCTACACAGCAACGACTTGGGAACGTACAGAGGACCCAGCATCTAGGACAACACCGTATCTCCCTATGTGCCAAGCAGTGTCAGCGTCCGAGCTGTGTGGTGGGCATGGGGCTGCGCGGAGGGGATGGCGTACACTTTCCCATTGGGAGTAACCGGGTCCGACGAGCTTTATTGAGTAGAGCGCATGCAAATGGCGACGGTGGGTATTACAAGTGATACGGAGGGAGACGGGTAGCGGCGCGGCCGAGTCGAATAGGATATACGAGGGAAACGAGCGACGTAGGGAGCGGCGACGAGTTGTGGTGATGGCGGACAACGAAAGGTTGAGACTTGGACCCTGGCTGTCGGCGCCGCTTCCAGAAGGCGCATGGATCAGCGCCCGCTGCGACGTTTCACGCGGCGGGCCAAATGTGCCACCAGTTACGGGCCATTATGACGCCATCTTCATTACTTCACGCGACCGTTGTTCACTTCTGAGCAGCAATCGTCTGCATTTGATATAGTGGCTGTTGCCGCGAGCACCACGAGCAGATGGAGGCTGAATCAATCTGGCACGGTGATCTAGTGGGCTGCGCTTCGGTGCCACTACAAGTTGACACCTAAACGTTGCGTCGCGCAATTTGCATGTACGGGCCGGCAATAACTGCGATCAGCACTGTCATGCGCGCGGAGTGACTATGACGTGGAAACATCCTTCATGCTGGGTTTGTGTGCAAAACATGTCGGACCATAGCTGGGTGTCGGAGATAGAGTGTGCTCGTGATCAGAAGGCAGGAGCCATCGCGACAGTGTGGCTCGATGTGGAAGGCTTATACCGGCGCCGACGATACAAGGTCGACCAAAGCAAAAAGATTAAGTGAACATTACGCATGTATACAGCCTGTAAAGTGATAGAAAGGCATAGGGGAGTAAGCCGGAGCTGTCACGGTCGCGGAGGGGCAGCTCGGTGCGGTTTGGCAAAAAAGTGGCCCGGGATGGAAAGTCGGGCCAAAAAGAAAGTGCCGCATCGCTCCTTCCCTCCCAAAAAATTGACCTCGAGGTGATTTGAACACCTAACCTTCAGGAATCTCCAGAGGAACTGGAATCTGACGCGCTACCATTGCGCCACGAAGCCGGTCTTGTTGTTGATGGAGAGAAAGCGGATTCTATCGTAAATAACCACGTAGCAAACATTTGCACATCGAAACGGCGACTGCGGGGTCATCACCAAGCAACCCCACCAGACAGTGCAAGTCGATATTGAAATAGTGGGTCGACGGCCAGCCTTTCCAAAATGGTTCCTACACCACTGGATCTCGGTATTGTACCTGCCTACAGGCTGCAATACATATCCGCTCAATCAATAGTGCCACCCGCTGCACCTTCAGTTCTCCATCAAAAACCTCAGGAACGCCTTGGCAATCACCACCCCGTCATGGTGCTTGCCAACTCTCTCCAGCGCATCTTTGGCCTGCTCGTCCTCAAAGATACCCTGCTCGGCTCTCATCTTGACCAAATACGACACAATAGGCTCCGTGAATTCCGGATGCCCTTGCACGGAGATGAGCTTGCCCTTCTTGTACATGCCTTGTACCAGACAACGTGGTGATCCACCGAGCTTTTCCACACCCTCTGGATACTCGAAGACTACATCCTTATGCATTTGGTGAATGGCCTGTAGATGTGAGTAGAGACACTACGATAATCGTGGCTTGTGACATACCAAGGTGTCTTGTTGGAATATTTCTTTCCCCTTCGCGGTAAGTTGCACTGGCATCACCGATATCTCCCACCCGTCGTCGCTGCGTCCGACTTTCGCTCCTGCCGCCCTTCCCAGGATCTGATGGCCGAAGCAAACACCGATGACGCGGATTCGGTCTTGCTCTAGTAATTTCTTGGTAAAGTCGACAAGCTTCAAGATCCATGGATCGTTATCAAATGAATTGTGCTCTGTTCCCTGTGAGTCAGAATAGCGATATTGTTGATACGAGCCATCACTCACTCGAACCCGAAATCAACACTGCGTCTATTTTCTGCAGGTCCGGATACTCCTGTGCCGTGACCACATCAAATGCGCTCAACTCCAAGTCTTGCTTTGGCGATAAGCCTAGGTCCTGTGCTGCCCTCTCCAACAGTGTCGTGAAGATGCGATCGTATCGGCCATACTCATCGACGATAGCTGCTGGTGGAGTATCGCACTCTAGAATAGCTATTCGCAATGGCGTCTTCATTTTTCCGGAAGTCAATGTTGCGAGTTGTGCAAGATGACACCGTCTTTGACAGCGGAAAAGGGACGGCGAGTTCGGAAACACTAGCGCAATCCGGCTGGTACCCACCTGCATCCAAAGCTTATCAGCCTCCAGGGGTCCAGCTACCTGGAAACTTCATCTTCGCGTCACTCAATTTTGCGCCGACTCGTCCACGCTGGAAAATAAAAGAACTTTTGCGCATAGTTCTACGGCATCGCGATTCTGCTACCATGCCGCCATCTGCGTCCGAGCGAACACCGCTACTTCGCTCTACATCGGCAAACCACCCCGTCACCGAAGATGCAATAACCACCGCAGAAGTAGCGCAACAGGGTCAGGGCGCGGCGCCTCAGTTTCCAACATCGCAGAAAGCGAGAAGCGGCTCACTTACCGAATCTGTCGACCCTGGCGATGTGCCCCCAATCACGGACGAGACAGAGAGCCTGACCAGGTTTCAAAAGAATGGGAAGTTGGAAGGTGTTGGAGAGTGGAAGTTTAGGTTCGTGTTTGGTGGTATTCTTCTTGGGTACTTCGTAAGTTGACCTGCCAATGTCCAAATGGCTGCGCATACTAATCATGTAACGACAGATTGCCATGTTTGACTCCACTCTCATGGCATCAAGTCATCCAGTCATCACATCGTACTTCCATGCATCAAATTCAGCCTCATGGCTATCAACAGCCTTCTTACTCACATCAACCTCGCTGCAGCCACTTATGGGCCGACTCTCAGATACTCTGGGTCGTCGACCATTGTATCTGGCTGGTCTCGTCGTTCTCGCAGGTACGACCGCATGGTGCTCTTTTGCGCAGACGATTGGCAGCTTCATCGCCGCTCGAGCCTTTTGCGGCATTGGCGCTGCTGGTGTTTTATCGATGGGTAATATCATGACCAATGACCTAGTCAGCATTGAAGTACGAGGCACCTACCAGGCATACATCAACCTCTTCTACGGAGGCGGATCTGCTTGCGGGGCGGCTTTTGGCGGCTTTCTATGCGACAAGTTAGGATGGCGGATGACTTTTGCGATACAGATACCCATACTTGTCATGCTTTTCATAAACGCCATATTCACCACGCCTTCTTCACTCGGCCCAAACTTAGCCAAACGATATGGACTAGGTCTGAAGGAAGGCCTGAAGGGATTCGATATCGCTGGGTCCACCTTATTGACGGTATCTGTCGCGTTTTTGATTCTAGGGCTCAACCTCGGAGGCAATGTATACCCATGGAAGCATTGGATCGTCATAACCTCGCTGGTCATCGCACTAGTGACAGGTGCCGTTCTCGTCAAAGTCGAATCTAGAGCCGCGCGAGCAGTCATGCCTCTGCCCATGTTGTTTAGCAAGCCCCGAGGCAATCTCGTCTTCAACAATTTCTTTGCACAAGTTGGCATGAACACCATCCTGTTCAACGCTCCCTTGTACTTCCAAGCGGTTGAGCTCGAGACGGCTTCTGTCTCCGGATTCCGCCTTGCTGGCCCTTCCGTTGCCTTGACCATCTGCGGCGTGTCTGCAGGCTTCATCATGACCGCCACTGGTCGGATGAAGTGGCTCATTGTTGTTGGCTCACTTTCGATGCTGTTGGGCGCTACATGTCTTTCCCTGATGTGGGATGGCATTCCCAAGTGGCTTGCCACCGTATTCCTGGTTCCATCTAGCATCGGCCAAGGGCTCAGTTTCCCGGCAACAAGTCTCGCGGTACTTGCAACAAGTACACAAGAGGATCAAGCAGTCATGACCAGCACACTCATTTTGTGGCGCAGTCTCGGTATTGTCATGGGTGTCTCGTTGAGCAGCCTCATTCTACAGAATGCTTTGACCTCGTACCTCGAAGCACTGGTCACCGGTCACAATAAGGCGAAGGTATGTCCCATTTCGATTCCAGCTAGTGGTGTTACGATGTCTTCGAGGCAGTTGCGGATAACTAGGGAAAGCTCATCACCCGCACTGCGCGACTCCAGCATGTCTTTCACTTGTGCTTTGCTCCGAACGTAGTCGTCTGGGTAGTGGATCTATACAGACTGCCTTCATGCTGTCATTGTTCTCATCGATCAGCGCTAATACCTTCCCGCAGATCATTCAACACGTTCGCAAATCGGTACGCAGCATAATCGACCTTGATGCTAAGCACAAAAGTCAAGGTCAGTTTTACTTACTGCGGGGCGCGCGTTTCCATTGCCTTCAAGCTCGATACCAAGTCGCTGCTCTCTTATAGCATTGATACTGATCTCTTCCCTAGTCATTGAAGCATACAGCCGTAGTCTGCGACTGGTCTTCATCTCGGCAATCGCCATGTTCATCATCGTGAACATATTAGTGTTCGCGATCGAACTTCCGCAGCTCAAGAAATCCAAAGTGCACGACGAAGAAGAAGAAGAAGAAGAAGAAGCGTCAACGTAGTAAAGCATCAATTAAATCAGTAGCAAGACGGTCAGACATCTTTGCAAGCTCGATCGAGTCTATGGATTATAGCGTAGCTCGTGAAGAATTACAAAGACCATCGTGCGAACCAATCCAACATGTATGGCGTCGCATTCCATGATGTGGGCCCGTTCCGAAGTGTTTCGAAAGGCTCGCCTTGATTCTTGCGACTCGGCCAGCCGTGACCAAACCCCTGGATCGCTCTGTGAACAACGACATCATCAACATCGTTACACCGCCATCGACTCTCTGCAACGCTTCCGTTTTCCAGTTGCTCCTTTGAGGGGTTGGTCGCACAATTGTCACGCTTCGCCCAGCTCTCAACCCAACTCAGTACTGGGATGAAAGGTGGTGGCGTTGGGCTGCTGCCGTCGTAGGGGACCACACTATCGTTCAGCCCGTGCAGGTTCATGTAAGGGAGTACCCTATCTTCTAAGCTCCGAACGCAATCCTTCTCGAACAGAGGCTCTGTCAAGCTTGAATCCGGATAGAACGAGCCTGCCACGGTTGCGAATGCAGCGAATTTCTTGTTGAGTTCCGCATCACACATGAGAAGTCCAGTCAATCCGCCACCGTTAGATAGGCCTGCGGCGTAAACGCGGCTCTCATCGATGCATAAGTTCGATGTCAGGTGTGCAAGAAGTTCGGTGACAAAGATTCGATCGTCGATCACAGAAGACGTTGGTGCCAACGGGTCGCCTAGCCATTGCACCTACACGTTAAAGTTAGCCTTCGTGCCTTGTAAGATCCCTCAATCCTCGTTCTGATCGTGACTTACGCCAGGTGCTTGGACATTCATGCCCTCCGGATACACCACGATGGTGTTTGGGTTGAAGTCAGGATTGGACAGCTCGCTGATGACCTCCATGCTTCTTGCGGGCTGTTGTTGACCATGGAACGCAATCACAAGAGGCAACGCTTCATCATTCGAGGCCTTGTACTTGGATGGCAAGTGTAAGATGTATTGGCGCTCGGTTATGTTGCCGATCACCGATTTCGAAGACAAAGTGACATTGGTAGTAGATTTGCCCGGTGTGAGCCCCGAGGGCAAGCGAGTTCCACAGCCAGAGCTCGCTGCGAGTACGACGGGGCAAAGGAGTGAAATGAGAGATAGAGACAGCATTGTCGCAATTCCGAGAACCAAAAACCAAGACGCGTGCTGTCAGAAACGGGGTCAACAGGTCAGGTATATATAGCTCTTGCGGCTTTGTGTACATGGGAAATTACGGACGAACAGAAGCGCCGCTCGTGCTGACGCGAAACCCCGGAGTCGGTCCTTTGAATACTAATCTTTCACCGCTATTAAGACGACGTGCGATAGCCTTCTAAAGGTCGCTGTTGTAGTAAGCAGAACTCTATACATGTATGCCTCGTGTCTCTTATAAGAATGGAATCTCGCGCAGTAGTCTCTATATGCAAAAATAACATTAACTTCTAGATTCTCTTCTTAAGGTTTGTATATATATTAATATTATTTAAAGCTATATATTTCTATTATCTTATTAATAGACTAATAATCTTATAGTTTTAGTTAGCCTAAGAAGAGTAGGATCTATTGTTTATTGAGTAGAAATCTAAATCTTAAGTAGTAATACTTATAGCTTAAAGAGCTACTAATTCTAAAGAAGTAAAAACTATTACTAGTACTCTAAAGAATATATAACTAAAGGTTTTACTTACTCTTAAAAATATAGCGTTAAGTAAGCTAAGACTTAAGACTTTAGCGCTACTACCTCTAAAGTAGTTAAAGCTTTTAAATTTTTTAGACTAGCTAAGAAGCTATTCTATAAATACTAAATACTCTATAAGAGAGTAATAATATAATCATACACGCTTATTAGCTTATAACTAATAAGATAATATATTCTAAAGCTTTATAGTTAAGATATATATACTAAAATCTCTATTAGTAAAAGTATACTTCTTCTATTTTTTGTTTTTCTATAATAATAATAATAATTAAAACTTTAAAAATTAAAAATATAAGTAGCTTAAATCTAATACTAAACGCTACGCTAGTTAAATAATTTATAAGTCTTCTTAGTACTTATAAGAATAAAACTAATCTCTTACTAGTTATATTATCTTACTACCTTACTAATACTTAACTAAATTATTTACTTATTTTTTAATAACTTTTCTCTAAATTACGTTACTTTTACTATATAAAGCTACTATAGGCTACTCTATATCTACTAAAATAGAGACTATTAGAAAGGCTATTTTAAAGGCTGTTTTAGTAGCTATAGAATAAAATATTATTTATAATATAATACTTAACGTCTTAGGCTCTTTAAGACGCGTTCTAAAATATATAAAAAGCAACTTTATTAATACTATTAAAGCTTTTATTAAAACTCTTATTAAAGCTTTTATTATTACTATCTTGCGTACGTATTTGCTTAGAGTAAGACTATTAATTATCTTTTTTATTAGCCTTACTATTAAGAAACTTCTTATTACTAATATATATAAGTTCTTCTACTAACTTAAGCTTAAAGAGAATTCTTAGTTATCTTAATAAGAAATTCGATAAAAATAAAAAAGTAATTATAAATACTCTCTTAAGTATTACTATAGTTAAGTAGATAGAAACTATAATAGTTATCTAGAATTGCTCTTAAGCTGCAAGTAGGTAGTTACCTTTACTAGTTACTAGATAGTTAATATAGCGTTGCGTTAAGGTTAATAGAGAATAAATATAGCTAGTTCTATTAGCTAGTAGTATATCTATTACTATATATTATATTATTTCTAGTTATAATATAAAGAAAGTTGCATAAGCAAGTGTAGAGTTAGTCTATAGGTTTTTAGCTTTATTACGAAGCTAAAATCTATAGTAATTAGATATTACCTAAGTTATTAGAGTAGATTAAGAACCTACTAGAAATAACTACGTTACTATAGCAATATACTCTAAATCAATATTAAAATTATTTAGCAGCTCTAAAAAAGACTAGATTAAAGTCTTTTAACGTCTTTTAATATCTTTTAACGTTATTTTACTCTAAAGATAATACTAGATTAGGCTTAAGATAGTAGAGTAAGATCTATAATAGATTTATAGAATTATATATAGCTAAAAAGTTATAGTAGCTTTAGTAAGTAACGTAACGCGTTATAAGAATATAATTAATAGAGATAATATAACTAGTAATTAAACTAGCTTTAGATAAACTTACTAATACTAGAAGAACCTATAAAAAACTAAAGATATAGTTAAAAGCTTATCTAGTATATATTACTAAAGCTTTAGTGTTAAATTTAAGCTACTACTTATATTTTAAATAAGTTTTTAGATTTTAAATTTACCATAAACTAAATATTAAAAGTAAAAATAGAAATAGAAATAAAGGTAAAAATAGAGATAGAGATAAAAGTAGAGATAGAGATAGAGATAGAGATAGAGATAAAGATAGAAATAAAGATAAAGATAAAGATAAAGATAAAGATAAATATAATAATAGTAATAGAGAATAGAGAGTATGTATATATAGAAATATAATTTAATAAACTAAAATCTTAGTATCTTATTAATTTACAATCTATAGCTTAGTTAATTATAAGCTATTTAGAATATATAAATATAGTATAACTCTTTTATAAAGTACTTTAGTATTTGAATTCTATAGTGAATCTAGATAGATTTAGTTATCTTACTTTCTAGCCTACAAGAAAGTAATAATTAGATTTTTTTAAGATATATAGTAGCGTAGGCCTTAGAGCCTACACTAGTCTACACTTGTAGCTTACTTACACTTATATCTTATACTATATAAAATTATATTACTTTTATCTAAAGTCTATTACTTCTATCTAGAGTTATATTATGTTACACCTTATAGTACGTATATATAATTATTTAAAGTTTTAATATTTCTTACTAAGGCTTAGTGCGTAGTAACCTAATATAATATATTATATTAATCTACTATAGTAGCCTATAAAACGCTAATACTCTATACTTATAGTAATTAGCCTATAGCTAATAGAATAGAAGCTTAAATTAGCAAATTAGATATTCTACTTTCTAGGTTATATTTAATCTCTAAGGTTTTATAAGTAGAGTAGTAAAATAGTAATTCTACTAGCTTTAATTTTGAAAGCTTTTACTATACTAAAAGTAATAGTACTAAGAATTTAAGCTTTAGATTACTTAACACTATACCTCTAAAAGAAAAATTTAAGAAATATACTTTTTTATATACTAGTAATAAATCTTACTTATTTTAGACTAGCATATTTTCAAAAATATTAAGTTTACTAATAAAAGAAAAGCTATTTTAGTAGAATAATAATATAGAGTAGAGTAATACAATATAATTGAGTATTCTATATAGAAATTTTTATATAGATATATTATCCAAATACTTTGTATTTTTTATAATAAAGTAGTAAGTATTATTAAAAGAAACTCTTCTTATAATATTTAAAATAGAATAAAAAGGCTAGAGTATAAAAGCTTAGATTAAAAGTTATATATATTAGATAGACTAAGATCTAAACTTTAGTGCTACTACTTTAAGTTTAGTAATTCAAGCTAGTGAAGTAACTATTATATAGACACTAAGATACTTTTACTAGCTATTCTTTTAATTAATATTTAATGTTTTTCTAATCTTTTTTATCTAGAGTTCTAAGTTTTTACTCTAATAAGTATACCGCTATTATAGTTTTATTCTATGTATTTCTAGCTATAATAAATAAATATTTAATAGCTATAACTAATAAAGCTAATAATTATAAAGCAATAAAGTATAAAGAATATAGTTTATAAGATTCTAACTCTTTAAATATAGCTCTTACCTATTCTACACTCTTATTACTACTATCTTATTTCTCTAGACTTTTACTATTTTCATTTTTTATTCTTTTTATATCTTTTGTTATTCTTATTCTCTCTAATTAGTATCTAGTCTTTTTAGTTTTCTAGCTTCTTAATCTACTTATTAATAAACGTATTAGTACTTTTTATATATATGCTATTAGCTATAAATTATCTTTTATATATATATATATTAGTATATATTCTATATACTTAGATCTTTAAAAAAAATTCTAAAGAAGTTAATAATATATTTATTAATATTTTATATTACTATTTTTCATAGTTTATACTTAAAATTTTCTACTTTTTTTATAGTTTTAGCGTTTAGATTTATAAGATCTATTATTCAAATAGAATAGTATATCTTTATATACTTAATTAGTAACTATATTTATATATTTATACACTTATAATACTTACTAGTCTTCTAAAGTAGCTTTATAGAGATATTTACTTTATACCTTAGCCTACTTATTTATTTCTTACTTAGAATAAAATAAATTTAATAATTCTTTTCTTATGCTAAATAATGTTCTTTAAAAGTACGCTTTTTACTACTATACTCTTATAACTAAACTTTCCTCTTAGCTTCTTAGCTACTATAGTTTAATATATAACCTAAATTAATTTAATTTTCTATAATATTCTTGCTACTTAACTTATACTTACTATACTTATACTTTTTATTCTACTTATAGCTACTATAACTACGCTCACTATTTCTTTTTTAAATATACTTTAGATCTTCTATTAAAACTATACTATTGCTCTACGTGTAGTGCTAAAATCCTCTACTTCTAGCTTAAGGTACTAACCTTTTAGCGCAGATCTTGTAGCCTACTTACTAGCTAGCGCGTAGAGTTTTATTAGTTACGCACCTTACGCCATACGTAATACATTTACTTCTATCTTGATCTTTTAACTTCTATCTTATATTGTAGATATTAAATATAATATATTATTCTAAATTACTACTATAAGTAGAGCTATGTAAAGTTTTAATATTTCTTAATCTCTACTTATAGTAGTAACCTAACGTTACGTGTTATATAAATCTACTATAGTAAGTCTATAAAATACTAACTCTCTAGACTATCTAAAGTTTAAATATTTATTAACTCTACTTATAGTAGTAACCTAATCTAAGCGTTATATTAATCTACTATAGTAAGTTAATAAAATAGTAACGTCTATAATTATATTATTTTTAATAGTTAATTAGATTTTATAAGCTTAACTAATTAGGTCTTATACTTTTATTCTAAGTTATTAATATATAGGACTCTGCTTTGTAG